TTGTATTTGTCCGCCTTTGAAACATATTTCTAGAAGGAACACCTTTTGCTAATGACGACCTGCACTTCCCTTTGCGTATCCCAGCATGCCAATGTTTCTGCCTTTGTTCCCTAGATCACCGATTCATATAAACAGTACGATTTTGGAAAAGTTATTCGGCTGTTACAAGCCTTTTACACCAGAGAACTTTCCAACTTTTACTTCAGCATAATCAAAGACAGGTATGTACGGCTGAGCAGTCACGTACTCAAGGGTTGCTCGTCTGTTCTGCTTGGCAAGGGCTGGGCATCCCGGGGTGAGCAGGTGGGAAGCTGGGCGGTTACCAAGGTGGATTCTAGAGTGAAGGCTGCCTCTTCCTAGCTTTGTGATTCGGGGCAGCCTATCCTCTAACCTGTTTATCCAAAAGGGGGCGGCTGACGCCACCTCGGTCTGGTTACGACAATGAAAGAAAGAACACGGTCGCGTGCTCGGTGCTGTGTGTGATGCAGCGCTCAGCAGTAGCTGCTCTGTGAGGTCAGGAACACGATGCTTGTCTCTGGGAGTTAGTAAAGCGCGAGGGCAGGCAGCCTTGTAGGGGCCACATTCAAAGACCCCAGGTAACTTACTAGTTGGGTTGTCCTTTAACGCAGTAGCCCAGGCCCTATCACCTGGAGAAGGGAGTTGGAGGTGCAGAGCTGCTGAGGTTTTGAGGCGATGGGCACACTGGGAGGAGGAGAGCGAAGGGGAGGGTGTTAGGGGAAACGTGTAGGACAGAGGGTCTTACTCTTGAATTCGAAGGGGATTAGATCATGAATTAGCCGCTGTAAGCATGAGCTGGACCCGAGACAGGTCGTGTTGGCAGCCAGTGTGGCCAGCTGCTGAGTACGCTGTCCTGTGCAGGTTGTATTGTGAAAAGGCGAGTGACCCCAAGCGCCGCTCATGCCAGACTGCGCTGGCGGAAATTCTGGACGTCATCGTCCGCTCGTTCGCGCCCATTCTTCCTCACTTGGCTGAAGAGGTGTTCCAGCACGTGCCTTACCTGAAAGGTAAGGGCAGCGACTTGCTCCCTAAATGAGAAAGGTGCTGATGAGGGTGTGACTGCTGATGGCAGGCCCTCACCTAAGGGCCCTGACCCCTCTGAGTGATGGGGGTGGCATACCTAGTCCCTCGGCACCTGTTGTGGAGGGGTGGGGGGACTTCAGAGGGACCTGGACATGCTTTCTGAAATGTTAGTAGCTCAATGACATTGAGAAATCACTTTCCCTTTAATATTTATAAAGGTCAGAAACATTAAATTTTATCACAACGAAGTATAGTGTTTTTTATAAGCTTTTTTCCTCTGATCGGATTAAACTTAGAGAAAAATCAGAAACTATAAATCTGACTACCCCCAAAACAACTACTGTTACTATTGGATAGTTCTCTTTGCTTCTAGGCATCTTTTTTTGAGGTCTCATTATATGTTTTATCCTTTGTTTAAATTGAGCATGATCTCCAAATGTTCACATAAATAAATGTCTGGTAAACATTTAGGATAGCTCCGTAATACTTCCTCCCATGGTTACCTTAAATAACAGTCCTTATTTCCCGTGAGTAGTAAATATTTAGTGGTTAGAGCTTTGTAGGTAGTCTAGAGTAGATGCAAATTAGCGTGTGTGTGTTTGTTAAGAGCCCAAGAGCGTTTTTCGCACGGGGTGGATCACCACCAGCTCTGTCTGGAAGAAGCCGGGGCTGGAGGAAGCGATGGAGAGCGCGTGCGCCATGAGGGACGCCTTCCTCAGGAGCATCCCGGGCAAGAATGCAGCCGAGCACCAGGTGACCATCGTCATCGAGCCTGGGCTACTTTTCGAGATAATCGAGGTAAGCGGTCATTTGTAGCTTTTGAAATGGTGTTAGGATCACAGTTTCACTGGAAATTTGTTTTTTAAAAATCTGTATATTGGGACAGGGAAGGTATTTTCACTTGAAATGCAAGCCCTCAGGTCTATTGAGATGACATGACATGTAAATCCAGGGCAGTGGCATAAGAATACACGTTTTTTAAAAATCTGTATATTGGGACAGGGAAGGTATAATACACATGCAAATGCAGGGCAGCGGCGTAAGAATACACAAAAAATCGGAGCTTTGTGTTAACGGTGTAGTTTTCTGAGAATTTTTGTCCACGTGGATCAGATTCAAAACAAATCCAAAACAAGATTTGGGCTCTTAAAAAGCAAACAAGATTTCCATTTTTTTCTTGAATTCTGGGAAAAAGATAATTTGTTCCAGAAGATTGTCATGTGATCTCAGAACATTCACCCTATTTTTATCTCCAAAGTTCTGTCCAGTTTTCTAAAAAATGACCATCTCATTTGGTTGGTAAGCTCAGTTTGAATTTTTGAAGTTGTACTTGATCAAGAACTGAGGCTTGAAGTCGCTAGTAGATGAGTTTGTCAGTCAGAATAGAGAATTGAGAATAGACCCACATTCTATGGCTGGGAGGTTCTGGCTCCTTCATTTTACGAGTGAGGAGATGGGGCTGCTGATGCTGACCCGGCCGAGGCCACACAGCCGGACTGGGTTTGTCCCTACGTGTCACGTGTCCTTTGATCCAGTAGCTCTGAGTGATAAGCTGAAAATACAGCTGGTTTGGATCATTTATATTGGAAAAAACATGAATATGTTTTCCTTGGGAATTACACTAAGTAGCTGTCAGATGAAGTCCTGGTTCTGTCAATTACTAACCACATGACTTGTTAAAACCAAATTAGTCTCTTTGAATCTCCTGTTTTCTCATGAGCTTTTTAAAAGGAGTGTCCATTAGCTCACGGGCATTTTGAGGATCAAAATCACAATGAAAAACGTGACGTGGGCATCATTCACCCCAGTTAGTGTCAGGTGGTGCCCTAACCCCGCGCCTACGGGCAGCAGCACGATGCAGGGTGGTGCCCAAGGGGCCGAGAGCTGGGCAGCTGGACTCCTGGAGCCTGCGTCCCGTTTGGACGTTTCCGTTCCAACCTTTCACACTAGGAAGGACTGACGTGCTTTAGTGGAGTAGCGTCGGGAGGCAGCGGTACACAGGGTTTCTCACGAACATGCAGTGTTGGTCCTCAGCTTCTGTGACACTGAGCTCAGTGACTCTCCCGTGCTCACTGCCAGATGCTGCAGGCGGAGGAGACGTCCAGCACCTCCCAGCTGAACGAGCTCATGATGGCTTCCCAGACCACGCTCCTCCCCCAGGACCCGCCCGCCATGCCTTCGGATGCCACCGAGCTTCGAGGGACGTTCCTGATCAACCTGGAAGGTGAGGAGGGAGGAGGGAGGAGGAGCGGGACCTGGAGCACGGACTGGCGTCCAGTGGCGCCTGTGCTCTGAAGGCACCCCCCATGGGAACTGGCAGGTTCCTCAACAGCTCTGGACAGTGTCCCACCCGACGAGCTTGGGGACGCAGTGCCAGGGATGGAAGGGGGTTCCTTCTGTACTGACACAGTGGCCGTCAGCACCCTCACTCCCGTTTGTCCTCTGTGTCCCCCTGTCCTCTAATACCGGAATTGAGTGTTGCCGGCCCTGCCCACCCTTCCCGCGTTGACTCTAAGATGTCCGGGGTAGACCCCAAATGACACCAGCACTCAGCTGTCCAGGAGGGGAAGGAGTTCTATGGAACCCATTCCCCTGAGTGAGGTGTCCGTCAGCCTCACCCCTGCTCGCTGATGGACGTGGAGACGGACGTCGGCAGAGGAGAAGGTGCAGACGTGCCGGGAAAGGGGTGCTGCCCGTCCTTCCTCCAGGGCTCAGGTCCCGGCAGGACGCGCTGGCTTATAGACAGCACAGACCACGCAGTGAGGCCTCTGCTCAGCTTGCTTCCCCCGACGCTGACATCCGGTCTTGGTGCGACGACTAGACACTAACTTAGTTACCAGTCTGACGTCTGAGGGTCTTCATAGTAGAGGAAGGTGTCGTGTCCTTTCGTCCTGAGGGGACACTGCAGCTCTCTCTCTACTGTGGCTCTTTCTAAAATTCTTAAATTCACTGCCTTTCCAGCACATACTTACCAGAACGATCCCAGATTGGGAGCCGGAGGGCTGCCTGCCTGAGTTAGGTACGGAGCCGGAGCTGAGCTGGGGAGCAATCAGTTAACCTCCCGTTCCCTTCAGCTGTGCAATTCTGTCTCGGCTACATACGTATGTCAGGCTTTCCCACGGCAGGAAGGATAAAGCTCCAAAAAGGAGCCCCTGCAGAACCAACGGCAACAGCGGTGCGAGGTGAGTGGCCCATCAAGCACGCATGTTTCCTCCACAGGCGGTGACATCCGGGAAGAGTCTGAGTATAAAGTGATCGTCACGCCCACGACCAAAGAGAAATGCCCTCGCTGCTGGAAGTACACCGCCGAGTCCTCAGACACGCTCTGTCCCCGGTGCGCCGACGTCGTCGGGGGGAAGTAGTGCCTCGCGCTGCCGCTGACAGCTGCTCCCAGCACGACCCGGCAGGACCGCTGCGGGTCAGGTGGACTGTTTACAACCCTGGGGAGAAACGCTTAGGCAACGAGTGGAGGGTGAGCGCCAGAGTCAGAATGCTAAGCTTTTCCTATCACCGGATAAAAACCTTGTGTATATACCTGCAGGAATCCCATGTGCAGACGGAGACTGGGGTATCCACGCTGGACTCGCTCAGAACACGGGCACCGAGTCTGTATATACCTGCAGGAATCCCATGTGCAGACGGAGACGGGGGTATCCACGCTTACCTTCAAGTGTGCTGAGCAGGAAACGTTTTATATTTTACAAATCTTCCTGCTCAGTACTCCAGTTCTCAATGTCTACAAATAAAGGCATTCTGGAAAGTGAGTGGTGTTGGTGCAGAAGTTGTGCTATGCACGCAGAGTGGTTTGAAGGGCACTGCGTTCCGCCTCGCCAGCGCACGCCCACCTCTTAGAGGAGCTGGTTTGTGGGGCTGGATTGGGATGGAAACATCAGTGAATCTGTTCTCACAGACGGAAAACCCTAACGGCACGTACTTACGTTTGTGAATGTTGAGGAAACAACATGAAAGCTGGAAGTTTATTTCACTATTATACATAAATTCACAACAACGAGCAGACAGGAAAAGCGGTATATACAGAACTGCATATACATACTAGTACTTACAGCACATGACGCTAGGCCACAGGGGGCTCCACACACCACTCGGCACGGGTTACACTTTCCAGGAAGGCTGACTACTCAGCCAAATCGAACTCCTGTAAGTCCAACAGATCCACTCCCGTCACGCTGAGGGGCTTTCCCTGCTGCTGTCAGTACTTGAGAAACATTTCTCCTAATTACATGAATCACAGCCACTTCTAACTGGATGTCTGTCATATTCCTATAAGCTTAGTATTACTACATCTGAGATTTTTGTGGTTTTAAACTGCAATTAATTGTGTATTTTTTTTTTATAAAAAGAAAGCTAGTTAAACGTAATGGTGTTTACTTTGACCTAAGATGAATTTTTATAACGAAGGTGAAATGGAGAAGAGCCTGTTGTTTCTGTTTTTTTCTTTGCAAAGGAAGGCGGCGTTTAGAAGCCTGATGTTTGTTCCGCTTTCTCTACATTTATCCCGGCTCTTGGGAGTCTACATCTGAACACGCCTGTGATGTAGATGCTGTGATCACGTGAATGCTTGTTCTTTCGGCATCACAGCGGGACTGAACACGGGCCACCACGCCTGTTCAATGCCGTGGGGGCGGGGGGAGCGTGTATCTGGAAAACTGCTGGTTATTGGCTTCCATCAGTAACTGCGATAAGTGCAATAAGCCCTTTGTTTCAGAACCAGCCACTCGGTGTCAAACCTCACTCCTTGACTGTGGCGCTTCCTGTTGCAGACCGTGCAGGCAGACCTCGGCGACCTGGGTCAGTCCAGGCCACTGCCGATAAGCAGTTCGTGACCGATCTGCTGATGGTCTTGCCATCGGTCTGTACACACCCAGTGTCTGTGAAGTGCAGGAGACAGGCCTGCCTGCACAGAGCTCTGTCTTCCTTCTATCAGGTTTATTTTAAAAGCCCTTGATGAAATAGTAACCTGTGTAACTGTTTCTTAACCATACAACTCAGCACTCAACGTTAAAATTCTGGGTGCAAATCTTAGGTTACACATCTAACTAGAGACTCGATTTGTTATGGTTCTACGTGATTGTGTGTCCTTCCAGAATAAGCTTAAGCGGCTTTATTAGCTTAAATGCTGATTAGGTTCGTCTTCCCCCCCAAAGTGATATGTAATCTTTAAAAATGCCTATAATTCCAAGACGTTTAACCAGCTTCCAAAATGTATCACTACTTTCAGAATATGTAGAAAGATCACAGGAAGAACCAGTCTTAGACTAATCGTAACAAGTGACTGACGCTGCCTACGCTCACCAGAAACCATCTGAGTGCGTCTGGATGGGGCAGCGGAGACCCAAGCAAAGGCTGGACTAGCTTCAGGGGCCGCCCTGCACCGGCGCCTCCTCAGGCCCAACAGCCTGCACAGCTCTTTTCCAAGGTTTTCAATGGAGCGGGAGTTGCTAAGTTTTAGACAGGGGCGTTCCTATTTGGATGTGATCTGTAGTTCAAGAGCATTTACACTGGGATGCCCTCACCTCAGGCGGTTTCTTTATGCCCCTGAAGCACATACTCCTCAGCCCTGTGCAGTTGCTCGAGTGGCTTCTTACAGGGAAGAGAAGCACTGACCTCTATCATCTATCACAATGAGCTACCACGAATAACAATGACAGGTACCACTGACTGCACGGTATGGCTACTTTCCAGACACACCAGTGTAAATGCTTGGTGTCTGTAGGGCTCAAAGCACTTTTTAGAGTTTGGGTTAATTGGGTTTTACTCAAATTACTCAGCACTTGGACTGCTCGAGGCACTGTAGGGTACAAGATTAGTTGTATTTTATCCTCTCAACCAGCTCTGAGGTAGGTTTGCTAAAGCTGTAATGTCACGAAGCATTTTCTCACTGTTCCCCAGAACAGAGAACATTACCGCAGCAGACATTTCTAAACATTTGTAAGAAAAATAAAGTTAGACTTAAATTTTTAGCATCTTTGCCCCTTTTTTTAAACATAAGTTTTACAAGATAATACATTTTTACAATGACCTGATGTGGATACGCTTTTGAATCTTGGCAAAAGGCAAGCCTTACCTTGTGTTATCATTAATTTTGGTGTGTGGCTCACAGCTCAGATTCTCAGTTTTGGCAAGTACAGGCAGGTCCTTTGGTACCAGAACAGGGGTTCTAGCTAATGTCCCTTCTGATGGATACGATGACCTTGACCGTGTTACTCCTTTGCAAGGTCGCTGTCCTCTGGGAAAGGAACCTGTCAGCTTCCAGGACTCCGGGTGTCAGTCCCGTGAGAGATTAAGCGCGTAACAAAAGCATCTTCCTAATAGTTGTGAAAGGAGAGTGAGTGGGACCGTTTCTCTAATTTTACTGATGGGACTGTATTTACATGACCATTGGAATTTACTTAGAACAATAACATTTGCATATGAAATATAGAATCCTATAATAAGAACATAATCTGTAAACTATAACCGATTTTAAATAGCAAAATTTAACAATAAAGCTACTTAAGTGCTTGAATTAGATATAAACAGGAAAACATCTGTATGAGTAGTTAATAGTATCACTGATATTTGTTCATATTTTGCCATAATTGATACTTGTTTATATTTTACCTTCGGTATTAACCAAAGGAGTGGAACTGAGCTAGGACTGTACTTTTTAAAAGTAATATACATATTTTTAAATTCATTTTACAAAAGGAAAAAAAAAAAGACAGACTCCCTCCATCAAATCCCAGCTCTGACTATATAAAATAACCATGCACTGCTTCACGTGCTAGTCACACACGTGGACGGGTCATAGAGAAGGAATGGCTATGGCTTCCACAGCTTCGATGAGGTGTAAGGCTAGATTGTACTGCCCGTGGTTCTCTGGTAAAAGCTCAATTACTTTATTCACTAGTTTAGCTGTCGTTGCAATTGGCACTTCTGTGTTTTGAAGATCCTGGGGATCCTACAAATAGGAAACAAAAATAATCTTATCAGTTACACACACCTGAATAAAAATGCTTTTCTTCACTGCTTCACGTGCTAGTCACACACGTGGACGGGTCATAGAGAAGGAATGGCTATGGCTTCCACAGCTTCGATGAGGTGTAAGGCTAGATTGTACTGCCCGTGGTTCTCTGGTAAAAGCTCAATGACTTTATTCACTAGTTTAGCAGTCGTTGCAATTGGCACTTCCGTGTTTTGAAGATCCTGGGGGTCCTACAAATAGGACACAAAAATAATCTATCAGTTATACACACCTGAATAAAAATGCTTTTCTTTGGAGCGAAGTAAACTAATAATGAAGATTTTCTCCTGAACTGGTATGTAAGGAGGCAGGCGGTGACCTTCCGGTGGTCTCCTTCCGAGTGTACTCACCATCGCTTTCAGCCAGGTGCAGAGAGTGGGTGACAGTCGGGCCAGCAGCTCCCTGCCTTCCCTCGCCTGGGTGTGGAGGAGCGCGTGCGCCAGCCTCTGCCCCGTCAGCACCAGCAGCTGAGAGGCAAGGACCTCTTTGTCTTGAACCTGCAGGATGGCCTGCGGAGGGGAACACAGACAACCAGGGTGAGAGCTGGTTCTGAGCTGTGGCCGTGTGTACAGCTGACCCTTGAACAACATGGGAAATAACATCCTCTCCTCTGGCTACTGTATGGAAGAGCTTAATTTGTAAGACACACAACACACAGGATGAGTTCATCAGTTGTTCGTTGTTGGGAAGGCTCCCAGTCAACACTAGGCTATTGGCAGCTAAGTTTTGGGGAGTCAGAAGTTAGACACAGATTTTCAACCGTGTGGGGCCAGCTCCTCAACCCCCACGTTGTTCAAGCAACATATCATCCAAATCAAACTTGGCATTTACAACCCAAATTTCTGTTTTCCAATTTGGTACGACTGCGACTTGTGAGTCATTTTCAAGCTTCTGCCTGTTTTCCTGACGGCTAGGCCTGTGCAGAGAGCAGGCCTGCACACTGGACTTTACTCAGCATTAAGCAGGAATTTTAATATTTTTTTAAAATATATTTTATTGTTTTTTTACAGAGAGGAAGGGAGAGGGATAGAGAGTTAGAAACATCAATGAGAGAGAAACATCGATCAGCTGCCTCCTGCACACCTCCTACTGGGGATGTGCCCGCAACCAAGGCACATGCCCTTGACCGGAATCGAACCTGGGACCTTTCGGTTCGCAGGCCGACGCTCTATCCACTGAGCCAAACCGGTTAGGGCAATATTTTCATATTCTGTTCTGTTTTTGTGCCTAGAAGCTCTAACAGAAGGATAAACAAAAAGCTTTATGGAGTCTTGACTGGTTCTTGACTCCAACCATCCCCTTTCTCACTTGAGCCCAGTGAGCACCCCGAGGGGCTTACCTCTTCCCCGAGGTGGTCCACTCCGTAGTTGTAGAGCTCCCCCACGTAATGCCTCCTCACCACGTCTTCATTAACTTGAAGGTGATGGGCCAAGTCCACGGCCAGCACTGGCCACACCAGGTCTTGCCCAGGAGGAGCAGCTGGGGCTGGGTCTGAGCCCTCCTTCTCCCTGGTGCCCGCGTGCTGAGCCTGGACAGCGGCACTGACAACCTTCAGCAAGAACTTGAAGGGAGACAGACACAGTGGCCTCCGTTAGTATGTTTCCGTAAAACATACCCGTGAGAGTGGCTTTTCCATGAAAGTTGTGTACTTGTCAAGAAGCGACACAACGTAAAGGTGAACGAGTTCTCCACAAGGCTGCGGAGGTGGTCAGCCTTTACAGGCCAGCTGGGTTTTTGTTTTACTACCTTTTCCCCAAGAAACAAAAACAAAGCCCAGTAACTAATTTACCTGTTGTCGTATAGAAATGAAATTTGGATCCATTTCTCCACTGGGTAGTAACTGAATTGAAGTTAGGTCTTTGAAAAATGCATTTTTCCCCTAAAGAGAAAGAAGAGACCAAGAAAACATGAGTATGGATTAAAAAGCATTTAAGACTACCTTGTGGTTGATGTTTTTCCTCCTCCAACAAGAACACTTATCTGGTAGGCGGTGCCCAGGGACCCCTCCTCCTGGCAGTCACTCGTGGCTGGTGACTCGCTGCTAGCAAGCAACTGGGCAGCCATGACAGCGGGTCACTTTCCAAGTTAGGTTACAAAAGGGCTGTGGCCTCGGCCTGGGTGCTCCTGTCCCCGCCTGCTCTGAGGCAAGCGAGCTGCCTGTGGGAGAGGAACTGAATCCTGCCTACATGTGAGCTTGGATCCCTACCACAGCCCCGGCCGCCTGCCTACTGCAGACTCAGAGACTCTGAGCCAGAAACACGCCCAGAAAGGAGAACCCAGATTCTCGGCTCACAAAAATGGTAATCAGCTCTGGTCTCCAGCCACTCGGTTCTGGGATACTCTGTCATGCAATAATAGATAACTAATACTCAGTATGTACTCTGAATCCTTTTAAAAACACCTTGCTCGAGAGCAGATGTGTGTCTGAAGAGCCAAAGCAGAATCCAGGGTTCATGTTCCTCGGAAGGAAATGTAACAGAGCAGAGTGGCCGCTGAACCGGAAGCCACGGGCTCTCGTCCCAGGCCCACCCCTTCTGCCCCGGGAGTGTGATGGGAGGAGAGGACCCACCGTGATGGTCCCGCCCACACCTGCTACCCCAGCTCCCAGGCGGCTCTGGTCCTGAGGTACTTGCCTTACTGTCGAAAAGCGACAGTGGCTTCACGGCCCTCAGAGAGAACCGCATGACCGCGTACAGGATGGAGCACAGGACGGAGTGGTGCTCCACCAGCGGGTAGTGGATGGGCTTCTGCTCCAGGGCCAGTTCCACGATGGAGATGGGCCCTTCGACCGCGAGCCACGCATCCTCCGTCTCCAGGTCAGGCGCCTGCATCTCATCCCTGCCAACATCCGCCTGCGTGTTTGAGAATGGAGAACCCTATTCAGAACTGGTGAGGGCAGAGCTGGCACATATCTCATTTAAAGAGCCCACCAGAGCAAAGTGCAAACCTCCAGTTCTCCCCACCCCCAAATTCTAATTTTAAACCCCCCCAAATCCAATTCTAATAAGAAATATCACTATTTTTAGGCTTAAGTCAAAACCTTGAAATGAATAAATGAAAGTATTTCTGTAGTGCTTTCGTAGGTCCAGTGAGTTTCAAACTAATTAACAGCTCAGACAGTTTAAAGCGAAAATACACCTTTTACCTCCAATAAAGTCTGCAGGAGATCCAAGCAGGAGCCCAGGAAAGAGGTCATCGCCGTGTCGCTCATCCCCACGTCCTGGTTTCAACAAGGAACAGACTTAGTTCCTGCAGCAAAACTCCAGTTGCTCTCAGAGAAATAACACGACTTCCCACCCTGAACGGACGGCACCAGCACATTTCAGTCGCTTTAAGAAAGTGGCACCACGGTTCCTTTTTAGCAGCTGGTGTCCCGGGTGCACGGTTCAGACACCGTGTCATCCGCCACCCGGACGGGGCACTGGTGCTCACTGTCCCAGAGTCACGGGGACAGCCATTCGACAGCCACTTCGTTATGGTCCCACCTGATGGTTCCGAGGAAACAGCCTGGCCTCGCTCAGAGCGCCTTTTAGGGACTGAACGGAACCCTCTGAACAAAACTCAAACCCTCAAGCCTGTGAACTAAACACCCCACGATGCTGTGCGCAACCATCGTTCCTGCTGACGCCCTTAAAGGGCCTGGCCAAGAGGCCCCTGCAGTCACACGCTGCTTATTAAACCAGCAACCAGCACATCCCTAAGATGTTCAGAGAGAGAGAATGTGTGTGTGACGAACTACAGTCACAGGGACGTTCGAGTGCGTACCAGAATCTTCAGCCATGGCGATTTTGGGGGACCAAGGGTCTGTAATAGCTGAGTTTGTCCCGATATTTCTCATATGTGCAATAATGTTCCAAAGTTTGAGTAAAAGCCAGTGCCCGCGGGCAGGAGTGTTGATCTAACTCTCCCTGTACAAGTTCTTATTACATAAAGGTAGATCAAACCGCTACTCGGGTCTACTTCAATTTGAAGTTCGATGTTCTGTGATCAAGTTCCCACTTGAACGACAGCAAAAACACGCAGCAGCAGCAACTTGTCACCCTCCTGTCCACAGGGCAAAGTTGCAGGCGTCTCGTGAGAGCCTGGCTGGCCCAGCTCTCCGAGAATCCGCACAGGCAAATCAGGACCCGCCAGAGCTCGAGAGCAGTTCCCCTCACAGTCCCACCTTCCAATTTCCTTTTCTCCCGACATGCCACCAGCTGGTGAAAGGCGGAGCTCGCCCCTGCGTTAGGGGGCTCTAGTTCAAGTGTGGGGTTAGCAACTACACATCCAGCTCAGGGCGATTCACTTACCCTCCGGCATAGCCTCTCCTTGGGTGACTTTCCAACCTAAGACAAGGACAGGAATGCTGTATTTATTTAGTAACTTAAACAAAAAGGCTTCACACACACACACATAAGGCATCACTCTGGTATGGGAAATAAAAAGTAACCACATTCTAAAAATACAGATACACCTATAAATAAGTGTGGCCACCATAACACAATGCAATTAATTGTGTGGTGGAATTTTGTAAAAGTACATTATGAAAAAAATACCACTCTGGGCTCACAAATAATCCTTTTCAAAAATATAGATTTTTGAACTGCTAAATAAGGAAGACTCTAAAAAATCTGGTTCGTTCTTTGCATAATTAAATAACTAGGTTTCCTTGAAACTCAGAACCAAACTCCATGCTACAAACAAGGAGCAGCTAAGAATTCTGCTGGCTGATGAAGGCACCATGACTTTCACTGGTTGGAAAGGAGGGACGATCTAAAGCAGACAGAAGGCCACTTCTAGCTCGGAAAGCCAGCTGACTTCCGGGACACAGTGGATAATTAGCCTGCTGTTCACTGCATTGCACAGGGTGGTGAGTGGCAGGTAACGTTACGTGACAGCACAACTCACAGGAGGGAGTGATGGTGGAAGACGGGACTCCAGTACAAAGGACTCCGCCTCATTAGCTCCTGCTGAGATGACAGCAATGGCCTTCCAACAAGCAGGCTCAGCCCACCCAACTCCACTGTGTCTCACCCTGTCGCCAGAATCATTTCCCAAAACGCAAATCCGAACACATCATTCCTCTGCTTCAAGTTGCCCCAGTGTCTTTGAGAAAAATGAAAAGCTGCCCCTCACTGAGCCCTCACCCCACAGCCAGGCCGGAGGGTAAGCGGCTGACACATTTCACTAGAAAATCCCAAACCCACACCAGCCTGCAGCTCGGCCTCCAGCAGCTGCAGATCAAGCTCCAGTCCTAACCACCAGTCTTCCTGAAGCTCACAGACCGGCCCCCTCTGCTAGTGCTGACAGCTTCCCTCCCCCAGCCCAGGGACATGCTTGCACGTTAAGTTCATCCCCAAATCCAATGCTGGCTGCACATACTGCAGTTACGTAACTGAATTCAACCGATGAAAGGTGAATGACGAAAACAAGGCAGCTGTGCCTCTGACTATTATGTTGACTGCTTTAAAAAGATGTGTGGAGAGGAGCTGGCGCCTAGGTCTACGGGAATAGACACAGGAAGCAGCTACAAAGATTGGGGCCCAATTGTAAAATTCTAAAGACTGCACTCAGACTGCACCACACCTTTGAGAACAGGTCCTAGAACTCACGGGCAATGCATTATGGGTGAGGTTTATGCAGGAAAACCGAAGAACTACAATCGATCCCATTCTAAGAAGATATCTGGGCTCCGCACCCAAAGCTGAAGGAGTGAGAGCACCTGCAGGCTTTAACCTAAAACAGAGCACCAATCCCTGCCTGCCCCGACCGCCAGTCCTGGCCTACGGGGTCCAGAGCCTTCACCGTGGAGGACTTTCCAGGACATGGGCTCCTGCTCGAGTCATGGGATGCCAGCAATGGGACCACGTCTCACCGAGCAGGAGTGAAATGTGGTGTCAAATAAAACACAGTCTAGCGAGGCCAATGGAATCATCTTTCTAATATCCACTCACTCGGGACAAATAAACAAGCAGCCAGGACGTGAAATTTAGGGTTACCTTATCCAGCAAGTAGGTGGCAGCAGAAAACCTTTTCACCAAGAACGTGTTCCACATCATCAGGGCGATGCCTGCAGCAAGCGGAGAAATGCAGTGAGTGGAGGCTCGGGTTTCCTCTCCATCACACGGGACGAACTCGGCTTCCTGAACCTTATACAACTACACGGGCTGTTTACTGAGATTTCAGCTCTTATGCCTCAGGCAATACGTATAAAGTTAATCAAAACCAGAACGGGCTGCCAAAGAGGAAATCCAATGGCCAGTAACCGTAAGAAAAGACTCACATCTTTAGTTGTAAGAGAAAGATGAACTAAAAGGACAGCGATATCACATAACCAACAGAAAGGCTAACTTAAAAATGATCATACCAAGTATTGGCAAGGGTGTGGAGACAACTGGAATGAGTGCTCGTATGCGGGTGGGATATTAAATTGGTAAAAGCACTTGGACAACGGGCAGTTATGAACTAAAGCTAAGTAACAGCGTGTCTACCATATGACCCAGCGATTCCACTGCAGGAATGAATACAGCTTCATTCATACAGCCAAACACTGGAAACAAACCAAATGTCCATGAGCTGATTGTTCTCATATATAATCATCAAATAAAGTGATAGGTAAAAAATATTAAGAACCACAATACAGAAAATATAATTAAAAAGCACACCCAGGCTTTATGCTTGCATATGTACTAAACTATGGCGTTTAAATTAAAATTTCTGAAACAGTTGTCAGAAACTGTCAGCGTAGCATGACATCACGTGCAGTTATACCCACACAGCCGCTCCTGCGTGGAGCAGCGAGGCCCTGCCCAGGCTGTGAGGAAACCTGGAGCCTCGGTGCACACGGGGTGCTGAGCCCTAACCTGAAGAAACACTGCCTGACGTCAGCAGTAACAGTTTTATCAGGGAGGACACACGACTCTGGGGACCATGTTCCCTGATGAGTCGCTTTAAATCTTATTTTCTTTTCCTGGAAGAAGATATGATCTCAAATGGCAAATAATGAGCTAATTTTCAAGCTCTCCTCATGTCACATGAGGCCTTGTGGAATTTCTGCTGTTTGACTTCATGCCTCCGACAGGGAGGTGGTCGCGGAGGAGAAAGCAGCAGCTTCTCTAGAACTGACCACATGGACCGACAGTGACACTTCCTCCTACCACCCCAACCTCGTCTCGAAACCTAGGTGACCCACTAGCCCAAGGCTCAGCTCCTCAGCTCTTCTGGGAACTCACCTAAGTGGAACCAGCAGCCTGTTACAATTTCTCTACAACTGCTAGCCTCTCCCTTTTCTGGACAGTATTTCTCTAAGCAGTTAAGAAAGCCAGTACTTTGTATAAAACAATACATACTAATGTTTAGGTCAGTGGTTGGCAAACTCATTAGTCAACAGAGCCAAATATCAACAGTACAACGATTGAAATTTCTTTTGAGAGCCAAATTTTTTAAACTTAAACTATATAGGTAGGTACATTGTTATTAACTTAATTAGGGTACTCCTAAGGCTTAGGAAGAGCCACACTCAAGGAGCCAAAGAGCCGCATGTGGCTCGAGAGCCGCAGTTTGCCGACCACGGGTTTAGGTGGTAAGACCACCAAATAGAAACATAATAGGATGTGAGTGTAAAGATTCTTGTCCTTGAATCAGTGACGTTTTTACGCCTGTTTACTCACCGTTCTGAACATGTGCGTTAAGGATGTGCTTCAAGTGTTCTATTGACCTCACAAAAAAACGTGCTTCCTTACATGAAGGGAGAAAAAAAGAGCAAAAACAATATCATTTAATAAGTGTTTCAAATACAAATGGAGACTTCTCACATAAGCTTCTCCATAAAGCTACATAAGAATGCTGCAGTAAGAACATGGAAGTATTAGGTAAGATGTAATTTTCCCTGAGATAATGTCATGCTCTCTTAAGTCCACATCACCTATATAATGATTGATTCCTAGACACTCCCAGGTCATAGATGCTGACATCTGGGTTTAAGATTTACTGTGATCTGTACATCATAGCATTCTCCAAGAAATACTTGCATTCCACACAGATATGAAAAGAGTGGATTTCCTGCTTTACAATATCATTCATTCATTATTCAACAAATATTTGTTGAGGAACTACTATGCACCAGGTTGTATGAGGCACCAGGACCACGGTAGTGAACAAAACAGACCCCAATCCTTGACCTTGCTGGGGTCACACTCTAGTGCAGGGGTCCTCAAACTTTTTAAACAGGGGGCCAGTTCACTGTCCCTCAGACCGTTGGAGGGCCAGACTATAGTTTTAAAAAAAACTATGAACAAATTCCTATGCACACTGCACATATCTTATTTTGAAGTAAAAAAACAAAACGGGAACAAATACAATATTTGTATTTGCATGTGGCCCGCGGGCCGTAGTTTGAGGACCCCTGCTCTAGTGAAGGGCCAGATAAAATATGCAAATAAATTACACAGGATGTGAGTGATCAATGCCAAGGAGAAAACAGAACGCAGCGAAGGGAAACAGGAAACACTAGAGGGGATGCTTGAAAGTCCACTCTTTCTAATCAAGGTAGTTTAAAACTCAAATACAGTTTGTGAAATGTTGCCCAGAAATTTCCAGATGTTTGCTGAATAAGTTTGTGGCCTGTACAAAGATTAAACAAACACATCACCTTGGTAATTTCAAGTGTTCCGAGCCTAACAAAGCTGTGTGTGCGAAATGGACCTGGGATGGGGTTGCATGGGGCAGGGAGATAAATCTTGAACAGGAAAAAACCCACGCAAATCAGGAAAGCGGCCACTTATTTCAGATGTAGCAGCTCTAATGGACCAGGATAACACTAGTCAAAATGTCAGGCACCGTGCGAGCATCTTCTCTATAAACCGCTACGACCCTGAGGCAGCTGCTGCCAGGGGTGGGCAAACTTTTTGACTCGAGGGCCACAATGGGTTCTTAAACTGGACCGGAGGGCCGGAACAAAAGCATGTATGGAGTGTTTGTGTGAACTAATATAAATTCAAAGTAAACATCATTACATAAAAGGGTACGGTCTTTTTTTTTTAGTTTTATTCATTTCAAACGGGCCGGATCCGGCCCGTGGGCCGTAGTTTGCCCACGGCTGTAGACCCTCATTTGCTTTACGGAGAAAATAGGACAAAGGCTTCAGAAACATCCCCAAAGCTGTTAACTAGTGGTGGTGGTGGGGGGTGAGGGGGAGGGGTGGATGGGAGGGCCTTGAACTCAGCTCTGCCTGCCTGTGGTTTATAAGTGAATGCTTAAAACAGCGAGTCTCTGAAACATCACTTTCTTAGCCGGGCACCTGGAACTGATTCAGATTTTGGCAATTACGATGCCCCTGCTTTAGCCCTAGCATTCTTTTTCCACGTGGGAAAAGGACCCCACTTTAGTAGCGAGCTGACATGTGATTACCATTCAGACTGAGAGGGTGATTGGAAGGCACGGGAAGGTCCCCTGTCCTGATCTCTTCCTGGTCAAAGTGTAACAGATCAGACCACGCCTTTGTGGAAAGCACTTACATTTTAAAGGTCTTCCTTGAATATGTGAGTGATTACATATTGGAGACTCTTTTTGAGAAAGGAAGAATATCATCATTACTATATTAGCGTGATTTCATTCATCAGGGAGATTTTCACTCAGAAGTGCAACCCGACATGAGGACAGTAAAGGAAAGAGTTCTGCGGGGAGAGGGAGAAGGCAGCAGGGCACTGACAAGGGAGGCCTGGTGAGCGACTGTGCCTGAAAGGGGGCCGAACACCACGTCTTTACATCTTATCTATCCCGGCATCAGTCCTGAAGGATTGGCACCGTCATTAAAAAAGGCGGAGCGAGGAGAAACGGGCTGAGAGAGGCAGTGCCTCCAGGCGTGGGCCCTTCTCCCCACACTTCGGACATGAACGCCCCGGAGAGAGGTGGTCGCCGAGAGTGGCCGAATGATGCCCGCAGAGCTGGGGCCCTGAGGCCAGCCTGGCCTCGAGTCGCCCTGTGCACAATGAGGCCGTCCTGCCTCTCCTGCTGAGGCCGACGCAGACGGGATGAGGGGATGCAGACGCCTCTGCACAGTCGGCCCTGGGCGGGCCTCAGGCTCCTGACTCACTTTTATCACGCTGACCACAGTATGAAGAATTTTCAGTTAGGTAGGTGCTATCTCATGCAGGAATTCAAAAGGAAATAATAAATATACTTATTTCCCGGCTGGCGTGGCTCAGTGGTTGAGCCTGGACCCACGAACCAGGAGGTCAGTGGTTCGATTCCCAGTCCAGGCACATGCCCAGGTTGCGGGCTTGATCCTCAGTAAGGGGCGTGCGGGAGGCAGCTGATCAACAATCCTCTCTTATCATTGATGTTTCTCTCTCTTTCTCCCTCTCCCTTCCTCTCTGAAATCAATAAAAATATTAAAAAATACACACACACACACATATTTACTTTTCACATCTAACAGGGAATAGGCAAATCACACTGGCTTTAGATCAGAGGACCCGAGGCTAAATCCCGACTCAGCAGTGTGCGCTTAGCAAGGAACGCAGCTTCTCTGGACCAAGCTCTAGCGCGAGGATAACGGCAATGCCTGTACTCCACGGTTTCCTGTGAGCGTGAGGACAATGCCCAGCTCCCAGGACAGAGACATCCGAGGGGAAAATCCCGTGTCCCTGTAAGTTATGTAATTAAACAGCTGAGTGTGCACAGGGTGAGCGCAGGAAGACAACCCCGGAGAGGGGCGGCGTCTCACCTCCGGGTCCTTGTTCCACTGTACCACGTACTCCCAGCAGCAGTGTGCGTGCAGCACGTCCAGCTCCAGGCTGCACGGGAACTGCTCGCGGGCCGCACGCAGTAGGTCTGCAAGGCAGAGGCAGGGGCTGTGACTGCCGCCTCCACGGACACGGGCGGGCCTCTTCCAGGCGCCCATCTCCCCACATTGTGTGTTACCTGGTATGGCTCCCAAGTCCACGTCCACCTCTGACACCTCAGATAAACCTCGGCTGATACCTTCCTTGGGTTCGTCTGGGTTTTCTGCATCTCTTTCTTCGTTAGCCAGTTTTAATAGTTCGGGGCTCAAGTCCTGTTTAAATACCCACTTGGCCACACTGTCTGCGATGCCACCTGCCGTTTGGAGACAAGAAGATGGAAAGTTGCGGCATAGCGTCTGTGGAAGGGAGCCGTCGGCAGGGCCTGCATTTCCAACCACGAGTCTAAGTGCCAACGTTCAGTTTTCAGCCGGAAAGTGATGCAACCCCAAGGGAGTCACAGCAGTTCCTACCGACCACTCCACCTGTGAGGGTAGCGGGGCATTTGCTATCTAAGGGCACTTTTAGACTCACCTAAATATTAGACAAATATAAGTGCATATGCATACACGCCTGGATACTGCATTCCTTCTACATTCACAAATTCAAAATATACTTTACCAGACGGAGACGAAGGGATGAACACATGTTTGAAAAACACTTTCATTTAAATGTAAGTGAAAACACGGATTAGCACGATACTGGTCTAGGCTTCTTAGGGCAATATATTACTTTTAAGAGTCAACTAACTTGCCTATATGGAACATTTAGGGGCAAAATTAAGCTACAGTTAATCAACAACATGATGCTATATGCCATGTTGCAATCAATTTAGTCCAAAAACTTATAAACGCAAACTGAAAAACCTTCACTATGAAGAGTCCTGTTTATTACCCAAAACATATTACACATCTTCTGTAATTTACTGACATGTCTGCTCTGTCTTTCCTCCTATTTTGGTTCAAATGTACACCTTTCCACAAAAAAAAATGCTCACAGTAAAATCACAATTATCAGGGTAATGGGAGAGCAGTGTGCTGGGCGAGATGTAATTTCGTATGTTTGGCTTCCCAATCACTTGCAAATTTTCCTTCCGGAATCAAGGCCCTGGTGGTACTGCTTCGGTGAATATTAAAATGGTGTTCCCACACTTGCCCCGGGTGGCAGCGTGGGGTGCTGTGAATTTATAATTAAAAACTTCACAAGTCTTATAAGGAGTGAGAAAACGGGTTAACTAAATAAAAACCTATAAATACATGCATATTTATAAACCCAGAAATAGTCATCCCAGCATCACAAGCCTGACGGAGCTGCTGGGAAGAAAAGGGGACGATCAAGGTCATTCAAGATGTAAATGCTTATGGTCCTGAGATGGAAGCCCGGGACCGACTGACTCCAGGAGGCAGGAACCCATGTGACACACATGGTTCAGTGGAAATTAGCAAGAAGGGAAGACCTGCAGTTCTGGTCTCATGAGAGGCTTCTGGGAGGAGGTGGCACTTGAGCTAAGATGTAGCGAGAACTCAGGGTCCAGGAGAAGAAGAATGAGAAAGGGGGAGGCGGGGAGAGGGAAGAGCGCAGGCTCCGAGATGGGGACCCCCGGGCTTCACTGGCACTGAAACCTAGCGACCAGCAGGAAGTGGGAAGGGGCTGGATTCAGTCAGCTGTGCTGGAGAGCCAGCTGCCGAGTTCACTTTGTCTGGCAGCTTCTGAACTTCTTAGTCTCAGTCTTAGTCCCTAAACGCTTAACCATATGGGCAGCCCCAAAGACTTTAGCTTATGGCTTATATGCCTCAATAGTTATGGCATTAGAAATTAAAATGCAGAAATTATAAAAAAAAATGTTATAATTCATTTTAAAATGAAAAAATAAACCCACTGCAGCTAATATTTTATGAAAATAACTAATTTCCAAAGCCCAACAGGATGTCCAGGGAGGAGGGGCGCTACACTTTGCAAATCTCTCTCCCGTCTGGCTCGGTCTGGAGTCTCCGATGAGCTCTGCCTCCCGCCCTCTGGGCTCCGCTGTGCTGGGTGATCTGCTCGGGGAAGGGAGGGATGCACCAGGCACGGAGTTGGAAAAGGGGGACGCTGGAGGCCCCCAACCATTCGTTAAGAACGGCTGCTTATTTTGCAAGGCTGGGACTGGGGGTGGGGGTCCCTGAGCAGGGAATTGACAGGATCAGACTCTGAGAAGTGTGTGGTGGGCTATTTACCCATTTTAAAATCTGAGTGGATTGCTCTTTCCTTATTCTTTCAGTCATTTCCATAACAGACGCTCACACCACCACAACAGAGCTGCAGACACACATGCCCCCACAGACTCCGTTACCTCTCCCTCCTTCCAGGAGCTTCCTGACGGAGAGCCGGGGGAGCGGCTCGGCCGGCAGCGAGGGCGCCCTGGCGGGGCGCGTGTCCGCTCTGCTGTGCAGCAGGGTCTGCAGGATGAGGCAGTCCTGCAGCTGTTTCAGCAGCAGCTTCCAGTACTCGGTGTCCAGAGACAGGGCCTCCCAGGAGTCCGTGAGGGCCTCCGAGTCCGCACCCAAAACTGTTTGGGAAAACTGACAGACAATGCCCGGTGATGACCTGGCAGGGATTCCGCATCACCATGAACTTTTTTTTTAAAATACATTTTTATTGATTTCAGAGAGGAAGGAAGAGGAGATAGAAACGAAACGTCAATGATGAGAAAGTATCATTGATTGGCTGCCTCCTGCACGCCCCCTACTGGGGATCAAGCCTGCAATTCGAGCATGTGCCCTTCACCGGAATCGAACCTGGGACCTTCCAGTCCGCAGTCCAACCAGCTAGGGCACCACGAACTTGAATGAGCTCTGAACCTGCGGGCTGATGGACAGCCCAGGTACATCGCACAGATGTTATTACTCAGCTGGATGAAACGTGAGGGTCAGGAGTGGGCGGGAGACTCGGGGGCGAGGAGGATGGAGTGTGGACATTTACAGAGACCTGCCAGCGCCCCCTCCCTCGGGCTGTCAGGGCCGCGCTGGAGAAGGGCCCGGCTCTCCTATCAGTACCAGGACACTGACCTCTCTTCAGAATGCACTCACCAACACAGAAAACGTGTCTCCAACTTCTCCCTCATTATTGCAAACCTCTCAAGCTGCTGATATTAACTGACACTATGAACTGCTGAGACTGAGGATGTAAGTGACTCTCTGCAGACCTAGTTAAGGGTCTCATCCAGGTTAATGTAGCTTCCCGCCAGAAAACAATCTGAGCTACCACAAGCTATGGGATGTTAGCCCTCCCTCCCCACCTCCCCTACTCCCCCTGTTTTTTAAAAAATATATTTCTTTGTTGATTTCAGAGAGGAAGGGAGGAGAGAGAGATAGAAACATCAATGATGAGAGAGTATCATTGATTGGCTGCCTCCTGCACACCCCCTACTGGGGATCGAGCCCGCAACCCAGGCATGTGCCCTTGGCCGGAATCGAACCCGGTCCACAGGCTGGCGCTCTATCCACTGAGCCAAGCCGGCTAGGGCTCCCCGTTTTTTTAAAGCGTCTCCAAGAGGTGAGGAGAAACCACCCAGGAAAGGGTCAGCAGGGAACTTCTGAGTCGTCAGTGCTGCGTGCCCCACACACCCTGTGCTCACACAAGGGAGGTTGAACACAACCACTGCATTTCCAGGAGCTGGAACAAACTGGGGAAACATGTGGTCTAGCCCTGGCCTCTCTCACATGGGAAACTGAGGCCACAGAACTCATCTTTAAGGGACTTGCCACCGATCACCAGCCACTGGCAGAGCCAGAGCAAGTTCAGCACTTGCCCCCTTGGGCCACACGTGCTATGTTCACATGTGGGTGTCGTCTGAATAAACAGACTAGGGGAGCACCCCTCACCCCCTCCTGACCCTAAGAAAGACAAGTAAGAATGGGACACACAGCTCAGACACCCGATGCTGCACAACACGAGGACGTGCGGTGCCTCCGCAGGCGGGACCGGCACGGACAGACGCTGCGCTGTCACTTACCTTCTTCTCGGTCGCGCTGTCCGAAATCTGCGCAGCGACCGAGTGCCCCACGTGCGCGGATAGCAGGGCAGCCCCGTTGTTCTCAGACTGAATGCAGGCCGTGCGCATCTGCTGCCACCAGGGGGACACCGACTGGGAGTCCCACGTGTCGTCGAGGGCCACTGCAGCCAACGTCAGAAAGGAAGCTTAGTTCCCCAGTTCTGGGCCGTCTTCCAGATTAAACACGGTTAGAACTAAACTCCCAGGGACGAACCTGCCTATTTCTGAATGAACTGGAAAACTGGTCTAAGTCTAGTTGAGTCAGAACACGTCTATTCCAGTTACTCTTGCTGTGTTGGTCACCTTGCTTCTGGACCAACTTTAAATCCCTGCTTGGAATAGTTCATCATTGCTGAAATTGAGCATCGAATGTTTAATATAATAGGTTATTGTTCTCAGCAGAACAAAAGTAAGGAAAGTAATAACCTCCACCAGAGACCATTAGATTTACCTCCGAGTTAAGCAAACGCACTGTGCAGATTACATTATTTTTGGTGACAGCACAAAATGCGACTTTCAGAAAGCCACGTCCTCGCAATGCATGAGGCGCGTTCTCTGGATAAGAGGCTCTGGGGAGAAAGACTTCGCAGCTGCCGTCTCCTGTCAGGAGACACGATCTCCCCTGCGGCTTCTCTAGCACTTCAAGCACTAAACAGGCTTCCGAGAGCGGAGGCCGCGGACACGCAGTCCAGGCCCCAGCACTTTACCTTTCATCCGGCTCAGGAGGGACAGCGTCGTGTGCAGACAGCGGACAGACTGCGGCCTCTCCAGGATGTCCTTCTCCTTAGAAAGCCACACGCTCAGGAGCAGAGACTGAAAGAGATGTAAATCCTCTTCAGTCTAGACAACATTTCACTTCAAGTCTCCCACTTGTACACGGGATCCAGTGTTTCTGGGAAATGAGTGGGGGCTGGGACATCATGTGACAAGGACAGAACGAGGTGCCGTCTGCCTAAGGGATCCCTAGTCCTCTGTGGAGATCTACATCCCTCCTCTCCACCTCTGCCCTGGTCTAGGCGCTGCCTTCCAGCTGGAGCCTCTGTCACACTAAGTCCTCAGTTAATGTCATCACCAGGGTCTGCGGCTTTAAGCAAAATGATGTGTAACAAAACCCCAACTGTACCGTAGCCTCTCATACACGTACGAGTTAAGTTCCCTCAGCACCTTACGATGTGTAACAAAGCCATGGCTACGTCACACACGTAAGAGGTAGGCTGTGGCATCTCCTCTGCTCTGCCTGGGCATGGGCACTGGCAGTGGCTGCTCTGGGAACGAGCCAGACGTGAGCAGGACGCACGCTCACCGCGTGGCACACAGACCTGCACGTAGGTTCCCTCAGCCAGAGGGCTGAGCAAGGGCCAGGTCGGCTGCCATGTCCCCTGCTGGACGTGACCACAGTGACCAAGCAGGGTTCTTTTTAAAAGCCAATCTTATTCTACATTCAATTTCTTACTTTGATTCTTGGGCTCTGTTTTTTGTGTTTGTTTTTTTTAGAGAAGTTCCCCCTCTCTTCCCATTTCGCAGCTGTGAACTGTGAGCGAGGGCATGCATCCGTGTGCATGTGGGTGGTAAGAGAACAGCCTGTGACGGTGGGGTAACTTCCTCGCCCTTTTTGGAATGAGCAGACGTCAGTGCTGTGCTTTACCCACGGGATGAATCTTCTGTCAATATTTCCTCCAGCACAGAGACCAAGGTCTAACACAGACTCTGTTTGGGAATGCCCGATCACCCTGCATTGCTGGGAGGAAGTGCATTCCGATAGGAACATTGCTACTGATGGTCGCGGTCCACTGAGAATGCATGCATGCATGTCACATGATAAATTTCTTTTAGGGTAATCATGGACTATGCTGTTATAATCTACAGGGAATGACAAAAAGAAAATACTATTAACTAACTATATAGGGGCTTATAAATTTTTTTGACCATTTTTAGAAGGTTTTCATGTATGTTCTATGATACGCTTTAGACGTTGCCAACCTTTCAGACCTCACGGACCACTGGTTGGCGACCGCTGCTTTAGACAATGGTAGAAAAAAAAGAAAAAAAAGAAATAAAAGAAAAAGATGGACACTTCCGATGAGTGAACAAGAGAGAACAGCGTCAGCAACAAGGAAGCTCACCAGCAGCAGCTGCGGGCTGAGTCCCGCCGACTCCAGCGTGTGGCACATGTCCTCTGTGGAGCTCTCTCCGTGCAGACACTTCCAAAAGAAGAAGCTGCCTGTGGGTGGAAACAGGACCCATTAACCAGTGACCCTCACCGTTCGGACGAGCTTCCTCAACGGCCACCTAAACCCCCAAAGAGCAACATAACTGGAGAGGAGGGAAACTGTTGGTTCAATCTGCTTGACTTCTTAAAGCGGAAGCCCATCCTGACACCGTCTCTTAAGTGTACTTATGAATACAACACAACTGCTAGGACACAGTGCCTGCATACCCAGAGCATCTTTAGGTAACTGACAAATTCTTCGGTTAACTTCAAAATGAACCGAATCTCTGAGACGCTCTAAGCTCGTCCAGGCTTCCTTTGAGAGCAGGCGGGATTCCAACAGGGGTCTGTGAGTCCACGCACCTCAGGTCACGTGCCTGTTCACTCAGGAGAGTCTACCCACCTCAGGTCACGTGCCTCTCCACTCAGGTGAGTCCACCCACCTAGAGCCACATGCTCCTCTTCACCCATCTTCTTTATGTTGATCACATCCTTCTCATACTCTAGATATTCCAGGAATGTTTTCACAGGCAACACACCATCCTGATCATCAGAAAAGCGGACAGCAGCCCTGCTGTTCTCTTGTTTATACTTCTCTAGCAATGCCTGGAGCTTCACGAGTTCCTTTTCATCCAGCCTTAGCAATACAGCCAAGTCCTTAAAAACAGGAAAAAATTCTGAATGGACCACGTTGCTCTCTCTGAGTCTGCCATGGGTGTCAACCCCGTCCCTTGAAGTGAATGCAACACCACAAGCCAAAGATGGATTTTTAATTAACGTGACTGCTCCAATGAACTTGGTTAGAGCCTTATTCGCCAATTACTCTGCGTAAAACTTGACCCACATTCATGAGGAGGCTATTTAAATAAAGTAAACTAAAAGTACCATTTTTAGAACATTTCCTGAGATTATACTTGTCTAAGATGTTCAGATTTTAATGAGTGTGTTACTGTGTAATCAGAAAAAAATTTAACAGGGTGTCAACTGCCACTCTGGTGAGTCTGAGGAAACTAAGGGACTAGTCAATAAGAAACTAACTCCTCATTTGTTCAGTAGCATAAACACTAGAAAATGAATCTATAATAATAAAAGCATAATATGCTAATTAGACTAGACAGCCAAACGACCTTCCAGATGAAGCCGGGGCTGCGAAGGCCGAGGCAAGGGCCAAGCCCCTTGCACGAATTTCATGCATCAGGCCTCTAGTTACATATAAATTCTCCATGTGGCTTGTGGGGGCTGCAGAGATCGGAAGTCCCTGATATAGCCTGCAGCCTTTCAAACCACTCTTCTATACCACACGTGCAGGAACATCTCCTGATCCGATAGTTTTTCTAAATTGGGGAAAAGTACACACACACACTTTAAAGACCACACTTTTGCCACAGCAAGCACAACTCGCTCCCCCCATGTGACTGGAGTAAGGCTGCATCCTTAAACCAGAGCAGTTTTACCTATTTACTGACTAAGGCTGTTGTTTCCACAAACCAGCAGTAAACTGCCAAATGCTACCGAACGCATGCCAGCAGTCCATGCTATACTGGGTTTATAGATGAGCTTATGGACCATGTCCCAGAGACAGCAAAATGAATTAATTCAGCCCTGAATTTCAGTTCTGTATGCACAAAATTAGCCAGTCAGCCTAGAGGCTGAGTGTATGGTGTGTAAAGGATCTAAACAAGTCTATGGCAAATAAGGTTTTAATTTCTAAAAAGTGCTTTAAAAATAAAAAAGAATCTGACAACTGATTTTTAAGAATTTGTAATTCTTTTATCTTTGCATATTATGCTGGGCTATCAGGTAGAGATGCATTCTGCAAGGGATTAGCAGAGGCATCTATGTAACTTCCTTTGGCAGAGTGTGAGACGGTAGCTGGGATCTCATGAAAACATTAGGCACTGAGGAATCTATGAAATGCCTAGGCAATCCTGTGCACGTAACTCAATCAATCTGAACCTTCCTGTTGCTTGAAATAATTTTACATGATTGGTGAAGTAGGCAGCAAAAGAAAAGACCCTGGAAAATGGCTCTGTCATGTGCAACGGCAGTCACAGAATACTCTGAATATATCATTATTCAAATGCTTTGTAAAATCCATCTATAATCCCAAAGATAAAAAAAGATGCTAGAATGTGGAGGTTGTTTCCATTACAGAGAGAAAATCTTCTCTCATTTTTATGTTTAAAAAATTGTTATTCATGTATGCATGTTTAAAGTACATTTCAGATGCACCAGATAATTTTCTTAAAAGAATTACCAGTGACCTGACATCAGTAAAACCAGACAGCTGGCCACGGTCACACAGAAACCGGAGTGGGAGAGGGGACATACTTCTCTCTAGTCCCCATTAAAGAAACTTCACTTTTCTGTATGGAACGTAGGGATTTTATATACACGCCTCAGAAATGAATGATACTGTACTGTAATAAATAGAGATTACCAGGTGCTGTCACTTTTGTTACATTATGTTTTATGGAATAAAAGCATAGAACATTTACTATAATTATTGTGAACACTTGGATGTATGATAGAATCTTTTAAAAATGCATTTCTTTATGTGTACACAACAGATGAGCTGTATGCGTTTGCTGACAACTACACAGAAAATGTGGTCTCTCTGTTTGGCAGAATCATTTCTTTTTTTCTTTAAAGGAAAGTAAAGTTTTGCTACTCCGGTAAGCCGACTCTATTTTAACTGGCAAATGTTGTCCAGAAGTTGTATTGTAAGTAGTAACTTTAAAAAATGAGTTCAGGACCTGGCTAGTTTGCTCAGTGGTTAGAGCGTCGGCCCGTGGACTGAAGGGTCTTGGGTCTGACTCCCAGTCAAAGGCACATACCTGGGTTGCAGGCTCAATCCCCAGCCCCGGTAGGGACAAGTGCAGGAGGCAACCAATCGATGTCTCTCTCTCACGTCGATGTTTCTCTCTTTCTCCCTTTTGTTCCCCCTTTACACTCTCTCTAGAAATCAAAGGGAAAAATAGCCTCAGGTGAGGATTAAAAAAAAAATGAGTTCAGAAAAACTAGAAGCTTCTAGGGTAGTGTAAATGGATTAACAATAAACTTTAATTTTTCTGGTATAAATAATATAAACTTAGCAGCAAGACACAGAGAAGCAGCAGGGGGTCTTGTAAAGAAACTACACCTGTATGCTTTATAAAATTTTTCCATTTTCTACTTCTTTACTACCAATTTGAAAAACTGAAAATAATCGGGGAGACGATTTTGTCGAGTGGGTAATGGGAGTACTCACGTTCTCAGAGAACGACGTGTCTGCAGGAGAACCAAGGGCATTTAACTGGCTGACGGACTCGTAAAGACGGAGCAGCTTCAGCTTGCTGGCACAGAACTGGAGCAGCCCTTCGTCAACAGACTCCACCTCTAAAAGGCAACATGCAGTAAAGAGATGTTTCGCAGATTCACAAAAGGCTTTTTTCCATTAAGTCTCTTAATATTACCTAATTCCCTGCTCTAATTTGTTAAATACCGGGAAGCTTACACTATAGAAGATTAATAAGGCAAAAATAATTTTACTATCATGGCCAAAATATTTAAATTTTTAAATGAAATAAGGTACTCTAACAGTAAAAAGAAAAAAGAAAGAAGAAATATCTTGGTCTAATATTCCAGTTTAGATAAATGATCTGGAAACAGCTTTGAAAATGTCCTCTCTCAGCCCGTGACTCATCACTGCCTATCAGGCTCTCACACTGAAGATAACAAATGAAAGCTGCTATCGTGGTGGTCAAAGATATGACGATTCAACCAGAAACTGTGGACTGTGCCAGATGTATCCTCAAGAAAGGGTGGCAAAGAGACCAAAAGTTGAATTCCTATCAATTAGTTTTTTTTCCCAAGATTAAAAAGCTCAGATAAAGAGCAACTCATACCAAGAACAGGGAATAAAAAAGTCCCCAAATCCTTAAGGTATGAAAGAAGTTTCCTTTTATCTTATGTACTTTATTTCCACCTTAAAGTAATAGGAGAGCATGATAAGCCGTGGGTAGCTTTCTACTTCTATGATCAGTTATACAATGAAGTGAGACCATGACCACCAATCAGTACAAACCAATTACCTTGATTTTTCAAAGTGTCCATGAGAGTTTGGGTGACGTTTCTAAGGCAGGAAAATGGTAGACGTTCGTTTGCCAAAATGCTTTCCAGAGCCTAGAAGAAAGTAGCAATCCAAGTCATTAGAAGGCACTTATTTGTTTATATTTGACACTGATGCCTCCACTTTCACTACACTACATTTCAAAGGGAAGCTCCATATTTAAGCTGCATTAGTATATATACCTGTGAGTGAAGGGTGCATCGTAAGTAATATGTAATCAATTTCTTGTCATGCCGAACACGATATGACAAAAAGTTCAGAGGAGAATGAAACAACCCAAAGCGACTGGTGTTTAACAGAATAGCCAGGACCAATTAGAAAGAGAGGTAAGCTACTCACTAATAAGATGCATTTGAATAAGTCTATACTATGTAAATATCAATGAAAAGTAGAGGCTGTTGTCACATCAGTGACAACTTAATTACTGCATATGGGTGGGGCTGACTGAATCTAGGCCAGTCTAAATATATAGGGTGTGCCCCAAAAATGTATACACACTTTGAATGATTATAAAGTTAGTGTTTATTAGCATACAGTTCATTTTCAAAATTTAAAAGAACCTACAGAAATGAATAATTTTTTTGTCAATGCATTTTCAAATAGATGACCATTCTAGTCCAGGCACTGCTGATAATGTGAAGCAATGGAATCACGAACATCAAGAATCATCTCATTGGATATTTGTGGGCCCTCAATTCATCAACTATTGCTGGTTTTGTACCGTAAACTTTATCTTTTATGTATCACCTTTAGAAAGTCTAGTGGATAAATATTCTTTGTTCAAAACTTAGACTGGCTTCACCCATTATTTCAAATCAGTTAAACCTAAAAAGAAGTGAAAACTAAGTGAGTTATCAGCTGTTGAAGTGTGTATACATGTTTTTGGGGTACCGTATATATACTCCCCCCACCTCACCGCACCTGCCCCTTCCTTCCCCCTGGTAGAAATTTAAGAGCCTTTATCACCAGTTCCCAAATCTCTCTTCATGCCTAAAGAGACAACCATCAGAGTCCCCAGTGGGTTGGACACAGCAGTTACAGCTCATATTATCATTTCATATTAGCACATTAAATTGGATTTTTATTGATGAGGTGAGTGTAAAAGGTTAGGCTGAGAATGTGGCATAAGACAAACACCAGCTGTGTGTTTGTGGGGAAAATCAGGCTTAGCAGGTGGCTCGAGAGGCTGGCCAGGCCTATGATGACACAGCTACCTGGAGACTATACAGAAAGTGACCGCATGTGGCAAATACCCCGGGAGATGTCATCTGCATCTGCTCTGTCTACTCTGACACAAGCCGGCAGTTGGCTTGCTTTCTTCTCTGCCGTTCAGTCTTCCCAAGTCAAAACTAGTTTCTTTTCTCCCCTTAGTGTCAAAAACAACACACAACTTTCACTATTAGGTTTCCTGGCATTTTTTTAAAATTCATAACTTCATACACAATTCAGCAGTATAGTAACAACAGCAACAACAACAGTCAAGACGACAGTTTGCACTATGCTCAAGATTCCCAGGATGTGAGAGAAGAAGAAAGATGGGGTGAAGATGAGAAGGCGTGTGTGGTTATGACCGCCCCCCTTTCTGCTACTGATTCTGAGCTGCCTGCCTAGATGCCCACCTTGTCATGAAGAGTGCCATCCTTGATACCCGAGACTTTGCTCTGAGGGAAGGAGAGGCCTGAGGCTCTGAGCCTAGCAAGCCCCCTGAGGGATAAATGCAAGAGAAGCGCTTTCTTTGTTTTTTTGAGAATTTTTATAAGAGCTTTTTGAGCCAAGCTGTCAGTGGGATGGAAAACTAAACTGAAAGTCAGAGGGACTTGCCTGTTCTACAATAAAACTACACAACGTGTTTTAAAAAATAAAATGGCAAAAAGAAATCAGTAGTCATTGAATCCTCCCACGTATCTAGCCTGGCTTCAGACACTGAGGATTATAGAAATGACACATTCAGTGAGGTCCCCACTTGAAGGAGCTTAACAGAGGGGCAGATGAAAAGGTGGGGAGCCACGACTAGTATCAGCTACCGGGTGCGATGAGCGGCGGGGGAGGAGCTCGCTGCATCCATGGCGGAAGTGTCTGGAAGGCTGTGGAGCTAGGACTGAGCATTACGAGGGGACTGACAGGGGTGGTCGTGAAAGAAATCATGAGGCACCACATTAGAGCCCTGGAGTGGAGGCTGGGGAGCCGCAGGGTCCCTTACGCAGTACGAGTGAGACATGAGTCAGGACAGGATTTCCAGAAGCAATTTACCACCAACCAGTGCAGCTGAAGAGGCTCCGAGCCGAGCAAGCCCCCTTAGGTATAAACACAAGAGAAATGCTTCTTCTTTTATTTTTTTTGGAGAATTTTTAGAAAAGCTTTTTGAGTCAAGCTGACGACATGAGCCAGGGAGCAAGACCTCCGATGCCCAGAGGAAGCCCTGCTCACGGGCACCAGGAGACACACAGAAGGATGGTCACAGCTCACGGCTCCTCACAGCAGGAAACTGAAAACGCCCTAAGTGTCCACTGGCGGGAGGTGACTAAACTGCAGTCAGTGGAATCACAGGGCACCGTCCGCGGCAGCCCATGCGTCAATGTGGGGGAGGCCCAGACACACGGGGAAGGAGTGACGCCACAGAAGACGTGGGGCTTGACTCCTTTTATACACAGTCAAAAAGGCTGAGAGGGCATCCATATGCTTTAAAGGAGCCACGTAAAAATAACAATTCTAAAGAAAAGCAACAGGGAAGCGACATTCTGGTCCCTGAGGGTCGGGAGAGGGGATGCGGCTGAGGAGGGACATGGGGGCTCCTCAGAGTTCCTGGTGTCAGCACGCGGGTTTATGTTATTATTCTTTCATCTCAACCGATTGCAGGTACGTGTGTGTGTGTGTGTGTGTGTGTGTGTAAAACACATGCACTTGCCTGTGTGGTAGAATTACTGACTTTTTCAAAAGGGAAAGGAAAAAAGGGACAGCAGGAACGGCCGTGTGGGAATATAAAAAAGGATGAACATGAGTAAGAACACGAAAGGAAGGCTAGCCTTTCGTGCTTGGAGGGGAACAAAGAAAATAAAGATTTTCTCCGGAGGGAACTGGAATAGCTACTCAGCCGGAAACCTCACATATACACTCACCTGCTTTTTGGTTGCAGGGTACTTAATATCGAGAATTAATTCCTTTATTTCTGTTTCAACTGAATCTAGAAAGAGAAAATTAAGCAAAGTAAAATTTCCACTTTTATTGCAGGCAAATTTTACTCTGAAAGAAAAAGGCATCTATGTACTGCCCGTCTGCTTGAAGGGTGTCTGGGTCTCTGGCGCTGCTGTTACAGATGTGAACACACCCTGAGAGGGAGACTCCATTGGACAGCACAGTGAGCGCCTGCGCCTCGCCTCCTTCTGAAGAGCCATCACAGCGCATGAACGCGATCTAGTGTCTGACGGCTCCATTGAGAGCAGGGGCGGGGAACCTTCTTTCTGCCAAGGGCCATGTGGATATTTATAACATCGTTTTTGGACCATACAAAATTAGCAACTTAAACATTAGCCTGATATACTTGGTCAAACATGTAATTAACTCACCCCTAATGCCTTGGCAAGGCCAGACCAAAGGATTTTGCGGGCCTTATATGGCCCATGGGCCGCATGTGTCCCACCCGAGTTAGAGAATAATATTAATTTAAGGAACAACAGAGTATGCTTTAGTATTTTTACTACAAAACACCCACCAAGACTGGGAGATTTTGCTTTCAGCAAGGCTGCTAATTTCTTCATTAAGTGCATGTCCTTGGCCCGTTCGCTCTTCTTGTCACTGAAACAATAAACACAACACGTTCTTACAAATGTGACCTTGCTTCCTTCTAATTCCGACCCTCCAACTGTGCCCTGTCCTTTACACTCTTCCTACTTAAGTTTAAAGGTATCAGTCTCATAAGAAAAGACACACACAGAAAAACAATAACTGCAAAACTACTAGCAAGATCCAGGCGGGACGAGTTAGCAGCGGGGCGCCAGCGAGGGACACCCAAGAAGCCTCACCTCAGCGCCAGATGGAAAGGAACAGTCACCGTTTTCACACCTGCAGACACGGGATCCACGAGGCAGATCTGGTAGGTCTGTGGCTGCCAACTCTGACTGGTGACGTTATTTAAGCCCATTATTTTATAGCCAGGATACAGGAGCCTGTATATACAAAGAAATCACACACCAATATGGTGACCACAGAGAAAGGAATGACACTAGGGGCTTCTATTATGGCCTGGGACCCCAACATTACAGCAATTCAGAAGCATCAATAAGGCAAATAATACAAACGGATACCAAAACGGAAGTGAAGCAGGACTCGATTGGCAGAGTGCTGCCTGTTAAAATGTGCTAGAGCCCGGCCAGTGTTGCTCAGTGGTTAAACATCGACCAATGAACCAAGAGATTGCTGGTTTGAGGGCACATGCCGGATCCCCAGTAGGGGGAGTGCAGGAGGCAGCCAATGGACGTTTCTCTCGCAGCAATATTTCAATCTCTCTATCCCTCTCCCTTCCTCTCTCTCTAAAAATCAATACAAACATATTTTTTAAAAATGTGCTAGAAAAGGAAATGAACACAGGCCCGTGTTGCAAAGGCAAACAAAGCATCTGACATCTGAAGGCATCTTCCCTCCGGAGCCTCCAGAGCGTGAGGGACAGGACAAAAGGCAGCACCAAAGCTAACTCATTCGGTAGCACATCGCGGCCTTTTCAAGAAGGTTTCTTTGTTATCACACACTTGCAGGAAAAACCGTAATAAAGAACATGTCCTGTCTCAAACAACCTGCAAACGAATAGGCAGACTGAATGAAAGCTTTACTTGGATGAAGCTCTGCTGCCCCAGGAAGGGGCGGCCTGCAGCTCACCTGCAGTGCTTGCCCACGTTGAACGCGCCCACTCTGGGTCCCTGCTGTGTGCTCCACACCTCCAAAATCCCCCGCCTCGGCGCGTAGATCACGAGGAACTGAGCCACTCGACTGGGGCCCTGGGGACTCCCAAAGGGGGAGGGGTCCCCCTTTTCTGGGACTCTTTCGTGGAGGTCCTCTACCACCTGGACCCAACCAATCTGGGCGTCCCGATACCCTGAAGACAGGAGAAAGGGATGCTAATTGGTAAATTAATGTAAGTTTAACAGTAGCCTTCTCAAGCACTATGGGATTTTTGGGGGGTGGGGAAGGAATTTAAGAAAAGCTGTAAAACTTCGTTATTTTTAAATTATGAAATATCTTAAACAGAAACTATTAATAATTATAATAAATATAGAATCAACCATGAAGTCTTATTAAATCTTGTATTTTGCTCAGTTTGCTTCAGATTGCTTTTTTTAAGAAGAAAACAGGCGTCACTGAAGCCTCGTGAACCTCCCATCTGATTCCCTTCTCTCCCTCTCTTTAAAAACTCTCTCCCTTTAAAACACTCTGGGGAGATGATCAGGTTGGGTTTTGAAACAACAGTCCATTTAAACTTTAAGGAAGAGATCAAACTGATTTCCTGTTACTCAAGTTCCTTGGTGGTGGGCAGATGGAGGGAAAGCGTGGGCCGCAGAGTGAAGGGAGGAGGCGCCTGCGTGGGAAGATGCCGCCGCGTATCTTCCTTCCTCGGGTGGCCGCTCTCACAGGCCATCGATGCCTCTCTTCCCAGCACAGGGAGGAGAAATGACTGCACCGGTGGCCGAAAGGTGAGCAGCAAGGCCAGCAACAAGCCCGCCACAGGGTGTCTGGGCTGCTGGCACGTCTGCGCCTTCCAGGTTCGGGGCAAGTCTTGCTGAGAACACAGCCTTGATGTTGCTTCAGAAGACCAACATCACGGAGGAATGATGTGTCTGCAGCACAGAACCCTCTTCTGCAGACACTGAGGCACGTGGCCGGTGAGCGCTACAGGAATTCGTCGGCAAGAAGGAATGGACTCCATCTGGTCCAGAGTAGTTGAATGTCCTTGAATCCATTATGCCAAGTGCAGACCAGACTGCACCATAACTGTGGTTTCCAACCTGTGCTCACATGCTATCATTCCGGGTGATTCCCAACGATGCAGTCTCCACTTCTTCCTTCATCGAAGACTTTTTATTTTGTTCAGGTCGACAACGTAACTTCGTATTTTCAAGCCTTCCTAACAGCTAGGTAAGACCATGTGACTAACTCCTGGCTAATGTCTTATCGAAAAAGGTTGGAGGGCTTCAGGAAGTATCTTCAAAGTAGACTGATTCCTTTCTCCTTCTTCCATCATGGGATACAGACAAGAGGGCTGGAGCTCCAGCAGCCTTTTGCACCATGAGAGGACCTTGAGCGGGGAAGCTACATGGAAGGAGACTGGGTTCCTGAGGACACTGTGGTGATTTCATATCAATCCTGTACTTGGGTCTGATATTAGCAGCCAAATGCAACTCCCAATTGACACAGTTACCAATAACGTTAAGTGAATTGGCCAAGCATATGGATAGAGAAATCAAGCCAGCCAAGATGGATTTTGCCCGGTTTTGCTTCTTATATCTGAAAGACTCGGCATTCTAGCTTTGGGGAGAACATCTGACTCAAACATGGCCTTGTGAAGTGGAATAAATGTAGCCGGGGCAAAAAAACTGAGTTCAGGAATTGACAATGACAGAGAGAATTGAAAAGTACATAAAAAAGAGGTTAGACGGGCCTATGAGTTCATCAAACTTAAAGACATATCAATTGGATTTCTGGATCAAGGGTTGCCAATCCCAGTTCATGTTTAAAAAAAAAAAAAAAGCAAAAAGGATTAGACAGATCAACCAGAAGCTAAAGAATGATCATGTTGCTCAACTATTGGGGTAAAAAACAAATGAAGCTTTTTTCCTGGATGTTTGTAAGGACGTACCTTTCCACATGCGTATTGCGATTCCTCTGGTTACATCCAATAGAATAACTCTGCCAAAATCATCCGTTACTGCTGCCAGAGAATTACAGGGAGACAGACAAATGCTCTCACCATGGCGTCTAGAATCTGGAAGCCCAAATCTGAAATGTAAAAGAAAACAAAAAGCTCAAATCACATTCCAATCTAGAGATATATACCACAATCATGAAATGTGTAAATGACATAGGCTGAATCTACTTTTACATAAAGAAATACGAACCTTGCATGGACTAATAATTAATTACCTATATATGACAGTTTGCACTATAAGAAGTTTCCTCCATTATAAAATAAAAACATCTATTTATTTTATAGGTTTTCTATGTAAATACCCACAACCTTATTTTTCAGAGAACATCAAGTGCATCATAACCATCTCTCCTGGATTAAGCGGTATGTCATGGAAAACAATACCCTCACAACCAGCAAAATTTTAGAAAACTTGGCTCCTACACAGGCATTTGCCGTCTGTTCTAAGTTCTTATTCCTATCTTGTTTTCTCTTTGCTAGGTATCACATCTTACTGATACCAATGTTAATTAGCTTGAAATATATGACAGTTTGCACTATAAGAAGTTTCCTCCATTATAAAATAAAAACATCTATTTATTTTATAGGTTTTCTATGTAAATACCCACAACCTTATTTTTCAGAGAACATCAAGTGCATCATAACCATCTCTCCTTGATTAAGCGGTATGTCATAGAAAACAATACCCTCACAACCAGCGAAATTTTAGAAAACTTGGCTCCTACACAGGCATTTACTGCCTGTTTTAAGTTCTTATTCTTATCCTGTTTTCTCTTTGCTAGATATCACATCTTGCTAATACCAATGTTAATTAGCTTGAAGGGAGAACTTCCCTTCTAAATATTTCTCTCTAAGCTGCTCCTGGTCTGTAACCAATCGCACTAGAGCTGTAAGTTCAGTAAGAGTAAAGGGTACTGAGAAAGGACCAGGAGAGCTCACTTTGATGACAGTCCCTGAGACAAAGAGCTCAAATTCGCTACATCTGTTAGGGACGCATAGGGCCATTTGGCTTAATTCCGGATTCCTGAATGAATTTAAAAATGTGGCATATTTTAAAATAAGATGAAAAAACCTTAGGAGAGAAACTTCAAGAAGTTTTGATAACATAATTGGTTGTATCTCTTTAGGTGAAGAATATCTGAAAGGGGGAAGGGAGTGTTTCTACTTCCCTTCATGGTGTTACTTTATATTAGGTAATAAAAAATAATTTTAAAACAAAATCTAGCAAAAACCACCTCTTCTCCCCGCCCCAAACCTGACAGCACTACGGATGGAGGTAAGCAAAGAGGCAAAGCCAGCATTCTGAAGAGGGCCTGAATGCAGGGGGCTCCTGTTTTCATTTTATTTTTATTTTTTTAAAGAAATTACTAAGGTGGTTTTTAAAAAATATTTTTATAGCTTACTGACAAACCAAACTATTTTTAAAAAGAAAATCATCAGCTATCACACAGTTAATGTTCCTGCGACTTAGAAGCTAAGCTTTTGGTGTCTGTAAAATAAAAACAACACACACACAAATACATACTGAGCCCCTGTGATGTCACAGGGAGACAGCAGTGAATGAATCAGGCAAGAACTGCTGTCCTCATGGAGTTTACATTCTACTGGAAAACTCATCCCATACCAGTGACTTTTAGAGGCTCCAAAGACTCATGAGATTAACGAATCCGCTAAGCTTATCAAAAGACCCTAAATCCCACAGAACGTTTCCAAAACCACCCCAGTTTGAGAAGAGCATGGCCGACTTGCCTTACAGCTAATGGGGTGGCTGGCTCCATCTTCGGCTTTTGCTTTTGGACAGCTTCTTCCTCGTGCCTACTCTTCCAGCCAAGCCAACCACTGGAAAGAGAGTGTGAGAATAAAACCGGGGCTCGCAGAGCGTCCAAGTGCAGACTATCACATTAGAAGCCCAAACCAAGCTAGACAAAGTAGAGACGGCTTAATGTAATTGTTATGCGATTACCTGGCGGCATTAAACAGAGCAGAAGTGAGTTTGCTGGCAACGGCGAGGGCAACGTGAGAGAGCAACGGCTGTGTGCTTCCCTGGAAGACAGAACACGTGCCCGCTGACAAAGGAACAGGGTAGCTTTCTAAGCCTTTCTAAAGGAGGCCTGCTATAAAGTCTGAAAAAGCTGTAAAGCCTGGATAGCAAGAACCTATGCAGCTCCTTGAGGGGAGTATAGTCACTTTATTCCAGGAGGTGGCAATGTCATCAAAGTGTTACCTGTGTAGTGTCGACGTCAAAGCCACTGGCATTTTATCTTTAGGAGTTCCCTCTTTTAGTTGTAACTTAATTGAAACTTTTAAACTGATATTAAAAAATGGCATTACTATATCAGGGCTGTGGATTTCCCAATCATACACAACTTGCTCTTTGCCCTCTTTACAAAAAATATATATTTTAACCCTGAGTGCTTTGGCTCAGTGGGTAGAGTGTCGGCCTGCGGACTGAAGGGTCCCAGGTTCGATTCCGGTCAAGGGTATGTACTATAGGAGAGTCTTTCTAAAAATATATATATATTTTACTAAAGTGAAAAGATAGGTTAGGTAGGCAATTCTGAGAAGGCTGCTTTTCAAGCGAGAAGTAAGAGCTGCCAAATCTAACTGTCTCCTGTTTTAAGGAGCCATTTTCACCACGTGGATAATGACAGCTGGCAGCCAGTTCTGTCCTGACAATCCTCACGGACGCAAACCCACGGGGGCTGGTCCACACCCCGAGCTTCTGACCACTGCACAGTATCCAAGGCAACTCGGTGTCCACGAACTCGGGCCATCAGAAACAAAGTTCAGTTGTTTTACACTGACTTCAGTACCTTTCAGTTAATTTAAACAATTTAGAAGAAAGCGAGCGGAGATTCATATGAGGTTAGACTGAAACTTAGCAACGTAAACTGCCCAACCTTTGTAAGGCTCAGGTACCATAGCCATGTTTAGACAAGGTGAAAACTCAGTCTGCGGCCTTACCCATGATCAGGGAGGAACCTCTTACCTCTAGAGCATAGAAGAAGCCAGTGAACGGATTGGACCCTACAGTGATGTACTGAGACATGGCAGGTGGGCTGTTCTTAATGGCTGCGTTAAATCCACCGATATTGGAGGCAGTCTTCATTTGATCGAAAGGGGACAGCGTCATAATACCTAGTGATCAAGCGACAACAAGGCATGACCTGAACGCACTGAAAGGACCCTGTCAGTGTAGGCCATTGAATGTTTACTTCAATTCCATTCTAGGACATTAACCGCTCAATTTAACAGATAAAAGTCATTTTTAAAAGCTACAAAATTAATTATCATAATGTACTTGTAAGGTTAAAAGTGCACGTATAAGGCCTTTAAGCTATGAACCATTACATCTTATCTTCACTGCTCCCTCTGCTTCCCGGAGCTGGCTCCTCCTCACCCTCATGTCTCAGTCTGAATGCCACTTCCCTGGACAGGCCTTTCCTCACAGGCCCCCCTGGAGTACCCTCTTCCTTTATCACAACTCTGATGATTTATTCCTGATGCGTCTAACACTCTGCTGTTACCATACTGTTTGTTTCCTTATCACCGGAATGTACACTTCATCCGTCTGCCTTGTATTTCTAGTGCCAATATTAGCTGCTGGGACACAACAGGCGCTTGTTCATTTATTTGCTGAATGAACTAATCAAACCTTTGCATAAAGTCCACTGCACTTCTCTTTCTTCATTTTGTAGGCTGGGAGATAAGTGAATAGAGTCAGATTTTTCTACCCATTCATTTATCCTAGCCTGTTTCAATGTTCCAAAGTTTAATTAACAGCACAGGGATGCTACCCTGAACTGAACTCAACACTTTGGAATTTTGTTGCAATTTTATTTTAGCAAAAGAGTCAAGACAAACTGAATGTCTACCAGTAAGGTGTTAACACAGAGGACTGCATACAATCCTATGCAACAGTAAACAGACCATCTGTCCAACATCTACTGTTTGGCCTCTAGATTCACACTCCTGCCCTTTCTCCCTGCTCACTCCCGGGGCCAGCATGCTGATCCTGCGGACTTTCAGTTGGGGTCAGACAGCTGGGAAGCCCCATCAGCAGGTCAAAGGGAGTAAGGAGAATGAGGTCAGGAAACCTACTTCCCGTGACCACTGAACAAAAGCCCATCCCTTTGCAAGGGCAAAGTACGTCTCAACTCTGTCCACCTTTCTCCAGCAACCCTGCCTGCACCCGAGACAGAGCCTGCTCTCAGGTGCTGAGCCTACTCCTCACCCCCAAGTCCTGGCGCTGCTCTGGGCTCTCATCTCTTAGGCCTGGGAGTGGGTAACAGCTGTGCTGTTAACCAGCCCTGAGACCCTATCCCGAATGGGTGGGTCTCACACTTTATAAATAGTTTCTCTGCAAATAAACCCCTTTCAATGTCGCTATTTTAAGATGTCACCTGTCTTCTATTAGGACTCTGATAAAAACGTATATTTGGCAAAATTGATGTGAAAGCCTCTTTATAATATGTTGATAAGAAAATGGCTATAACAGTTGGTATGAATAAACCTAGTTTTGAAAGCCTGCCTACATAACCATACATAATGGCACACATACAATTCTGAACGAATGTTTACAAAAATGCCAATGATAAGTATCTTTAGATGGTAGAATGTAAGGGGATATTGTTTTCCTTTTCTCTTTACATATTTATGTACAATTTACATTTTTAACAAGCAAATATTACATTGATAAATAGAAAAAAATATTAAAATAGCATTTTCTTCATCTCCACCCCGTTTCTACTACCTTAACTCAGGAGCTGATTACTTCTTCCCAAGATTATTACACTTCCCTACTGTACTCATTTCCTAGTCTTGACCCTTACATCGCGACCTCTGAACTTCCACCAAGTGGTTTTCCTAACAGGCTGAGATAGTGTTGTGCTCCTGCTCACAGTTCCTCAGTGGCTCCCAGTGTGGCTGTGGGAAAGCTCTCAGTGCCTCCTGCATAGCACACTGGGCCCTTCAAAACCTGACTCCTGTTTCTATACTTGGCCTCGCTCTTGCCAGTTCTCCTGGGCATCCACTGTTTTTCCAGAAGACAATGCGCTTCCACCCTCATGCCTACATGGCAAGAATGCCTTCTCTGTGTGTGTTCTCTTGGCCAAGTCCTTCTTCTTCCCGTCCCGGATTAAAGTCCACCCTTCTTCCGCACTCCCTCAGTGCCGGGCCTCTCCCTGCTCCCAATGCAGCAGTCCACTGTCCACTCCAACGACTGTTAGGTTGTGGTCCTGTACCTATTCCATGGGTTTCTTCCCACGACACTCACACTTCCTGGCAGCAGCGACCATGTCTTCTCGGCTCTATTCCCGAGGCCTAGCACGGTGAGCCTTCAAATACTGGTTTCAAGGAGAAATCTGCTTTTCTCTATATTCTGCTGGCTTAAAGGTTACATTTTAAAAAAACCAATCTATAGGGAAATTATATGGATTACACTTGTCTGCAGAAAAATTAAATCAAATTGTGAAAGTCTGAACTAACTTCCACGTGTCTCACTAAAAGCAATGCATTTTCTTTTCGCATAAGAATAAATCTACAGATGAGATCCTGCAATCAAAAGGAATAGAAAGTAAATTTCAAAAGAACTGAGCTAGTAATGCTTACCAATACTGGCGTGATCAACGATAGTGTCAACATCTTGCAGACCCCATTTCTTATAAGCTAATGGTGGTGGCTGTATGTTCTCATTGCCTGAAGCTGCAGCTGTCAAAGACAAAAATTAGACAAACCAAACTTCACTATAATGAGTACAGTGAAGTTTTATATTTTTTAAAAGTCACAAAAAATGTAATAACATTTTATGTTTTTATTGATTTCAGAGAGGGGAAGGTAAAGGAAGAGAGGGGTAGAAGCATCAATGATGAGAGAATCATTGATCAGATGTCTCCTGCACGCCCCCTACTGGGGATCAAGCCTGCAACCTGGACATGTGCCCTGACTGGGAATCGAACTGCGACCTGGTTCATAGGTCGACGCTCAACCATTGAGCCACGCCAGCCGGGCTATAGTGACTACTTTAAGTGTCCCCAAGACAATCAGTTTATAATGGGCTAAATTTCAAAATTTCAAAAACTATGAAATAGCTATAAAAATTCAACTGAATTCTGACTTAGTAGAAAAACGTGTCTATTAGAGATGCACATTTAGCCGAATCCGTGAACAACCCCATTGTTCCTGTGCTGGTCACACTCGCCTCTGGCAACTCATAGGTTAAATAGGTTACATGAAATTAGACAAACATCACCACAAGTTAGCTATTTCTTGTCAAAAATTACCTTTTGCTACCTGATTTCGACAAGCACGAAGAGACTGAAAAAGGCTAAATCCATCAATAGTCACAATGGCAGCAGGATATAAGATACTCAGCTCTTCATTCTACCAAAGAAAGAAGAAAATAATAAATCAGCATTGTCAAATAAATGTATTCATTTTCCTATTAGAGCTGAATGTCATGACTAATGTAAAGTAAAAAACATTATGACAACAACCGTCAACCACCAACACAAAACAACCACAAAAAACAACACAAGCAGAGGAAAAGTAAAAATAAATGGAAAATTAATTTCAGAAAGTTTTTGGCCAAGGAATTGAGATTCTTCTCAAATAGAAACTTTTGTTCATGGTGAATAATGCTTTTAGGATACAAGGTGAGATTAACAAAAAAGGTATACGTTTTATAGAAATAAAATACAGTCATTGTGCAAATACAAACACTATATAAAAGTAGAAAGAAAAAAGGAAACTCACCTGAAATCTCTGACAGGTCTCAGTACATATCCTCACATATAATCATACACTTTTGTGTGAGAATATACCACATATATTATCCCATAACATGTTTTAATTATCCAATAATACGTCAATGATTTTCCATTTTGCTAAGCGAACAAGTAGTTTTTCATTATGGCTACACAGCAATTAACTAGGCATTGCTTTACATTACCAATTAACTCTCTCATAGGAATTAATGGGTATTAATTTAGTCTTTCCTATAAGATTAACTTCTTCTATTGCTCCAGTTCTTATAGCTATAGTCCATCTATAATGCTAGTTAAGTCCCCACAGGCACACAATATATACAGCTGTTAACTTCAAACCTTTGGAAGCAGGGTGGTACAAAGAAGAATCGAATATATGGGGTGTCCCCCAAAATTGTATACATAGTTTGAATAATTAATTCCAATGGGTTAAATCTGAAAAGAAAGAAACATCAATTGAGCTATCAGGAAAAAGTGTGGATACATTTTTGGGGGGACACCTTGCACATATATTTTGATACCTAAACCCAAATTAAAACTATATAAAGTTATATAATATCCCACTTTTGTTTTAAGTCACTATTAAATTCTAAAAATAAGAAACCTTTCTTGGCTTCTGACTAAAGTGTTTTATTTGACTGCAGAACAAACATGCAAAACTTCATTAAATAAGTTAAAGCACAACTGGTACTCTTTGCTCAGCTGTATATTGGTTGTATCTCAAGAATGTGACCGTACAGCTTAACTGTGCCATCAGACAAAGATAGCTTTACCTCTCCACCTGATATAGAGGAAGACACAACTTCAAGTAAAGCCACTGGTACTTGAATACGAACTCTCACATACCTGCTCAGTCACGCCCGGATGTCGTGGGATCTCGTAGGTCCTGCATTTAAGCTGCAGCACAGGGTCCTCATTCAGAAGCTGTGCAAGCAACAGCACACCGTTCTAGGAGGAGGCACAGAGAAGGGCCCGGCTTGATTTCTCACCAACATACCTGAGCCGGTGCAGCCAGGCAGGGAGTACCGCGTCCCCAACAAGTTCTCCACAGATACCAGGTCCTCTCTTCTCAGAAGAATACAGCTTCTCTTCTGTATCGCTCTTACCAGAACTTTCTACCACCGCCCCTCCCCTGTCCAGCCTCCACCCCCATAAAGCATCAACTACACGTTCCCAACCGGCAGGAAGGAGTCACAAACGACTACAGTGGTGCCTAACTCGGTGTCCCAGTCACTGCTGTTTCCGACCAGTGGGCCCGGGGCTCACCTCCGTGTAGAAGCGCACAGAACCCGACGTGAAGCCCAGCACGATGCAGGTCCAGTCAGGGCGGCCCGTGGAACTCCTGCCACAAACAAAAGCCATGACCAGAACGGCCCAGCAATCACAGCAAAGCAAACAAACCCCTCTTATCCATCCTTACCTCTTCTGGCTTGCCAGTGGGATGCACAGGGCACTGGTGACATGCTCCCTAAGAACAAAAACAAAAGCGTGAGCTTATCTCATGAGTGGATGAACTGCTTTTACTTCTCTCTGTGGACCAGTCTGATTCAGCGTCTCAGTAAAATCACAGTAAAACTCCACCGTAAGCGTTGGCTGGTTTGGCTCAGTGGATAGAGCGCTGGCCTGCGGACTGAAGGGTCCCAGGTTCAATTCTGGCCAAGGGCACATGTCCAGGTTGCGGGCTCCATCCCCCCAGTGTGGGGTGTGTAGGAGGCAGCCGATCAATGATTCTCTGTCATCACTGATGTTTCTATCTCTCTCTCCCTTCTCCCTTCCTCTCTGAAATCAATAAAAATATATTTACAACAAACAAACTCCACTGTAAGTAGGATCATAAAATCCATTCCCACGAAAGGCAATGCCACATTCACTTGAGGTTAATTTAAAAGCAGTATTTTTCATTCTGTATTGTCATGAAAGTAAAGAAAGCAAAACCCGTCGACACACTGTGATTACGTCATAGACCTGAGACAGTATCAAAGCTCACCAGGCTGTGGCCAAAGCCCACTCCCCTCTCCCTCATATCAGTGAGAACTTGCGGGAGGGCAGGAGGCGCTGTTGGTCATGGGAGTGCAGGTCTGCAGAGCACAGACTCCAGGGACCTACTGTGCTTCAACCAGTGGTCTGCTTCGAGCAGATTTTGCACAAACTGGCCCTGATAACCTATCTCTAAGCACAGGTTAGGGTGGATGTTCCCTAGCGGTTCTTTTTTCTGACATGTCGGCTTGAAAAATTTGTCAGGAGCTCAGAGAACAAGCCCCAAAATAAAATAACTCCTTGACTGATTATTATTTAACCAGTCAAACCCCAGGACCGTTAGGAGAACTGGAAATGCTCTTGCCCACACGCCAGGGAATCACTGAACGAAGTCAACCTTTTTGCTGGTTGTCTGTAAAGGAATTCAGCCATTATGTTTGCTCTGCACTTGTGGCAGAAATGAAGTGTCTTTGAAATGCTTTAGACTAAATGACTTACTAGTAAGGAGAAATATTTTCATTTTTTGATAAGAGTATCTACAATGTGCAGGCATGTACTACGGGCTCCCACTTGGCTTTCTTTTATCTGAATTCAAAGTCTAAAAAATCGTATTCATTCTTATCAGAGAGCTTTGGGTCATAAAAATGCGATTCGAAACAGTTTTGGCTCCAGGTTCAGGCTAGCAGCTCCATCATGTAACCATGTTAGAGATTTGATTGTACGACTCTTACTGGGTTAGCAGGAAACCTTGAATTCACCAACTTGCTTTTTTGAAGTATTGGTGAGTTCTAAGCATTAATGTAGCCCTGGGGTGGTGAACACAGAAAACAATGTAGAGATGACGTGTTATAGAATTGCACACCTGAAACCTATATAACTTTATTAGCCAATGTCACCCCAATAAATTCAATAAAAATAAAAATAGAAATGAAAAGAAAAAAAAAGAATTACTGTAGCACTGTCCCCTTTAAGTACGAGTCCAATGCCAGCGAAGCAGAGAAGACAATTACTGCCCTTGACTTTCTGGCTGAATAAAATTAGCAATGGAAGACGGCGGAGAAGACAAAATGTGGGAAAGATGTTATAAAATTCTCTCTGACCTCTTCTTTAAATCCTCTCCTAACAGTTGTGTGTGTTTTTAAGAAATCACATGATGAGTAAAATTAAAACTTGCTAACTGAGTCATGCTCTACCACCTCAAAGTTGGAATGAACATACACTTTCCAAAAGATGAAACTTAATAGATTCGCTTACAATTCAAACAATTTCATATATGCATTTAACACACATAGAGGCAAAAAATTAACTGGTACCTACCCTTCTTCGACATTTAAAGAGCCACTCCAACCAACAGCAAATTGCATTTCTTCCTTTCCTTTATCACTATATTTCCATTTTGCTGAAAAAATTAAGTTATCATATAAAATAACTATAATACACTAAAACAGTAAGTTATAAATTTCACTCTTTCCCTTTAGAACAGCGGTTCTCAACCTGTGGGTCGCGACCCCTTTGGCGGTCGAACCACCCTTTCACAGGGGTCGCCTAAGACCATCCTGCATATCAGATATTTACATTACTATTCATAACAGTAGCAACATGACAGTTATGAAGTAGCAACGAAAATAATTTTATGGTTGGGGTCACAACATGAGGAACTGTATTTAAAGGGCCAGGAGGTTGAGAACCACTGCTTTAGAAGGATGAGTACAAAATTTAATAGTTCTGTATTAATAGATTTGGGTCATAAATATAAGAGAATGTTCAAAAATTTTAATAAGATATTTATAAAACTCTACCCTTCGTCTCTCCTTCCTCCAATTAAATCCATATAATAAAGTTATTAATTCATATATACCCCCAACCTATTTTATGTATAAAACTACTTTTATCTTTAGATGACAAGAAAACTTCCTGTTAGATTTATGCTACTGGAGGGTAAATCTGCTTTATAAGATCATCCCACAGCCACTCAATAGAGGATCTCATCTTGATCAGTGAGGTTTTACTATGCTCTGCATACCCAAACCATAATTTTAACCTTCAGCAAACATCATGAGCTGAACACTTATGTCCCAAATAGGAAATTGCAGTACTGTGAGTTTTCAATTATAGTTGACAATTTCCTTAGTCTCATTATTACTAAAAAGGGTCAGTGGCCCTCTGAGCTCTGGCTGCCCTTGCAAGGACTGGGCAATGCCCAGCCATGTCTCCGAAGTGCCACAGAGAGATGGCTAAAGTGTGTGCAGCCAAGAAAGAAAAACTGAGAGGGATAACAAACAAACAAACAAAAACAACAACAACAACAAAGAAAAGGAAAAAGACAAAGAAATACAAAACAAGAAATACAAAGTTTTATACAATGTATAACATAAACTTTCAAATGCCACCATATAATGCACACAATAGAAATAACATCTTGTCTTTCGAATACATTTTCTGTTCTAGTCTATGCATTAAAATGAAGGCCACTGGAAAATAACAGATACTCACGCACTAGAAATACAGCTTTCTGCTCCCGGGCTATCACCATAAGATCATTGGTTGGCGACAAGGATAAAACGCAATCTTGAAGCCAGGAAGTTTTCTGTGTTTTGCAAGTGTTTCCTTCTTCTTCCTGTGGGTAACATGGCAAAGAATGTATATGCAACAATATCAAGAGTTATTTAAACTTAGCTTGTCCACCTTGAAGGGCGAGGGGGAAGAAAAAAGGGACAAGAAATCTTCCCAATTATTTCATAAAGTCTCAATAATATTTCTTATCAAAACATGTTAAAGATGACCAGCAAAATGTCCACTACATACAAACCTCAGCTTTGAATATTAATGCCAAAAATTTTTAACGTAAACAAGTATAAACTAGCAAGACATTAAAGGAATATCACATAGGGGACACTCCGAAAATGACTGAGTATTAGAAAATGCAGTAATAATCCTATGCCAGAGACAGCCAGGCTGTCTGCAGCCAGATTGCAAAAAAGAACTATCTGATGAGTAAGGCTGTAGGATCTGTGAACTATTTGCTACATCTGACACTCTTTTTTACTTGACCTGAAAGGTTTTTTCACTTTTTCAACTGAAAAATTATTCATGTATAAGTGAATTCCCAGAGTTAAAAAAAAAAAAATCAACAGGTCTTAAAAGGTCTGCTTTGGAAAGTCTCTCTCATACTCCTGTACTCTAGCTGCCCTGCTGACTCTAGAGCAGTGGTTCTCAACCTTCCTAATGCCGCGACCCTTTAATACAGTTCCTCATGTTGTAGTGACCCCCAATTTCATTGTTACAGATTGAACATAATTAAAGCATAGTGATTAATCACAAAACAATAGGTAATTATATATGTGCTTTCTGATGGTCTTAGACGACTCCTGTGTAAGGGTCGTTCGATCCCGAAAGGGGTCGCGACCCACAGGTTGAGAACCGCTGCTCTAGAGCCAAGCCAGGCAATCAGTTCTGGTTGTATTTCCAGAGAGGCTTTCTGCACATGCAAATAAATACATTTACTACCCTCTCCCCCTTTTTCTAACACAAATGGCAGCACACTACATACAGGCATTCACAAAAGTAGGTTACAGAAGAAGACAAATAATACAATAACTAATAAATAAAAGCATAATATGCTAATTAGACCAGATGTCCTTCTGGACTAAGCTGGGGCTGCAAGGGAAGCCCGGGTCCCGGGTGCCGGCTGGTGGCCGGAGGAAGGAAGGCCTACTCTTGCATGAATTTCGTGCATCGGGCCTCTAGTAACTAATAAATAATACAAGAGTGTGGGTCTGTCCCATGTCAGATGTTTAAGATGTTTCTAGTCCAAGTACAAGTAACATCACCAACGGCCTGTAACAGCAGAGATGAGGAAATCCCCTCGCCAGTGCAGGTCACAGTGAACTAGTGTTGAACTAATTTGCTTATATAATGAACAACAAAGCTTGATTTCCAACTTGTCAAAAAAGCCCAGGCTGGAGAGTGGGCCGGAAAGCCCTAGGGAGAATGTTCGGTGAGTACCAGCACACACTGGGCACCCACAAGATGCCAGCTCATCGGTTTGTTTTGTACCATAAAGGCATCTGCCTACCAATTGGGTTTTCTGAAAACTTCCCCCATAGTAACCGGGCCCATAGTCACCAATACTGCTCCCTGGAAGGTGCTGATTCTAAAACAACACCATCATTTGACAAGCTAGTTAATTTCCCAAGAGAAGCATGAAATTAAAAAACAAAACAAAAACAGCACCACCCAGGACTACCTTGCTTTCCACAAAGACTAGCCCCTACCAATTACTAAAGTGAACATTAAATGCACCCATTGGCTATAAGCATAACTCCTGCTGGGGCTTGGGGAGAGAATGTATAATTTTATTTAAATATGGCCTAAACTTCAAGGACCTGTTTTCTTTGAATTGAGAGCAGCGAAACTTTTTCTTAGTGTGCACAAATATGGATTATGAAACCTAGATTATAAAAAGGAATTCATTCTAAATAACTAGGGCTGTCACATATTTTTAAATTTTTCTTTCTTTTGATTTTAAGCCCACAAATTTGTCAAGTGATTATTTTTTTCCAGAATGAAGCAGATGGTAAAAATTGCAGTGATGTAACCAGACTTTCAAGTAGAGCTGGCCACTACCGGGGCTGGTAAATTACCCCTCTGTAAACACAGTGGCACCCGGTTTTGGTACCTCAGCTGCTGCGGTGACCAGATTGCCGGAATAGTTTTTCAAAGTTGTCAACTTTAGTATGATGAGTCCATGATTTGCAATTTATACTGTCACTGTCACTGTGCTTTCACAGACATTTACATACTGCAGTGGAGAACCCAGGATAATTAAGGGGCTGTCAGCAGATTCACTGTAATTCTCACCAGTTTCCCATCTAAATCACAGAAATAAAATAGTCACCTACACTTTCTAAACCAAGAGATGTAAGCACTTCAGCAGTATTGAAACACAAAAGGTAAATAATGCTAAATAAGTAGGTTTGTCTCCTCCCACCCACCCAGTCTGCTATTGATATATGTAATGTCCAATGTATCTCAACGTTTTTGTGTTTTGTTTTGTTTTTAGGTAGCAGGACTTTTCATTCCCAAACAAAATTCTATGCAACAGACTAATATATGAAACAGATAAAAGCAGAGCGGAGGAGCAATACAGCAGCTCTGTGGAGCCCCAGCACTCTCACAAGTATGACAAGTACTGGTCTAGGTCTAGGCCATCTTCCACACTAGACACTACAATTCTCAGATGCAAGGTCTAAGGTCTTTTCAAAAATTAACATGGGGCCAGGCAAGAGGCTCTTTCTAAATGTCATTACTAACCTGATTACAGGTGATCCAGTGAAAAAAATTTACAAACACAATTAGTCACATAAACCTACAATTTCAATTTCAATTTTTAAAACAACTTTTCTTCCTAACTTTAAAGGAAGTTAATGATAATTCAGTAACTCTTACAGTTTTACTTCCACTGTCAATTCAAGTAGGATTGATTCTATTATTATTTACTTTTAAATTGTATGCATACTATGATCCCATTTTAACAGAATTCTGTTTGCTCATTCATTCAGTCACTCAACCAGCATAAAGCTATAGCAAAATGCCTACCTTTATAAGCCCTTAAAGTCAATAATGAGACTTGCAGGGAAGGTAGGTGTTGAGTTTGCTGTCTGTTTCCATTCTGATTAGGTGGCTACAGCATATACTTTTGCATTTCATACATCGGCCAAAATTTGCTCTTATTCTTGTTCTGTCTCTGGAGCTGGCTATGCCTTTGGAATGGTTCATAATCAGAGAGCAGTGGAAATAACACGTATCTACTTAGTATTATTAAGCACAAAAATGCTCTTGACAAAGATTTTAAAATGTCAACCTAACACTGCAATGTGTCACCATCATTACAAAAGGAAATGCCACTATCAAAGCGCGTGCACACAGTGATAAAGACTCACGGGTTCTTGAAGAGCGGGCTCTGCTTCCTCCCATGCTCCCCACCCATCATCTTCCCAGTTCGCTGATTTACCTGTTTTAAAACAGATGAAAAGTGCTTACAGGAAATATAGAGCTTAAAGTGTTTTAAAACATTTTCTCTAAACATAATAAAGCCAACCCTGATATACAGTAAACATTATATAGATGTATAGTATATAAATACTAGTATAATGCTGACGTTAAGGAAGAAAATAACGGTAAACTATATTATATTAGGATATTGCTTATGTAATAATAACCAGGAAACATATGACCTAAATTTCCAAATCTATGTCATAATATAACTGTGCAAGTTGTTTGGATCTTAAGATACTGGACGTCCACATTTAAACCAAACTGCAACGGTGACTTTAAAAAAAACCTCAAAATGACAGCATTTGTTTACTTAAGACAAATTAAATATACACAGTGACAAAAATGCCTAAAGTTTTACATAGATGTCTTAAAAAGTGAGTTATTTTTTGATAAGACAAGGTATCAATGAAAACTAAGTATTGAAATGACAGATCTATTCTCTACCTTTTTTGGATACTCTGTGATTTCTTACACATGAGAACATTTTCGTGGATTAAAATAAGATGTTCAACAAACACTGTAACAAGGAATTAAAAATCCTATATGTTTGGAGAGTATGATTCCTTACATTGTTCATGTTACATGTTTTTATATAATATTTTTGAATTTATCATTTATGGTATCCCATCAGAAAGAAGGAATAAAACTATCATTTTTTAAATCATTTACTCTGAGTCAAACAATAGATGAATGATAAGTTTAGGCCCCAAAATCAGATTGCCTAGGTTCTTAGCCTGGATCCAGCATTTACCAGCTCTGTGACCTAGAGCAAGTTACCCACCTCTACAAGCTTGAGTTCTCTCACACTAAAAGCTTGGAAAACAACAGTACCTACATCTCGTAGGGCTGTTATACGATGTAAACCAGGTCACATACTAAAGTCCTCAATGCCCAGCATGTAAGCTGGCAGTGCTAGTCCTCAAGATTTAGCCATTACAACACTATAAAATATGAACAAAATACTGTATTGAAACCAACCAGTTTTAAGAATCTAAAGGGAAGAATCAATTAAAAAGATGGACTGAACCTGATATCTAGTATGCCTACCGGTAGGAAGGAAATAGATCTATCTTTCCCATCTATGAGGTTTTACAAGTTGCTAAAATCGATTAGGTCTAGATGGCAAAGAATGTTACAGTCTAGTATTTGGAATCATTGTTCAATTAGCTTCACGGTAATAATACTCTCTTAAATCTCTGGGATTTAAATACCAAGTAACTGCTCCTGAATACACATTGCTAGGTATATATTAAGTCCTCAAGGAGCACTATCTTCTGATTAACAGTGTACAATTTACAAAAGGTTTCCAAATACATGTCCCTTAAACAGTGCAACAAATGCTCTGCTAAATACCATGGGCAGCAGGAGCAGAGCAAAATACAAACACACTCCTTAAAGAATTTGTAGTGTAGTTAGTGTAGGGGACAAACATATAATTATAATACATGCTGAGTGTTGTAACTGATTACTATGGGAACCAGATGAGGCAGAGAGAGATGAAAAAACGTAGTGAGGAGTCATCTTAAACTAAGTCCTTCAAAAGTGGCCAGGAACCCTGCGGATATACTTGAGAAGAAGGTCAGCATGAGCAAAGGCAGAGGCAAGCAGCCGCATTGCGCATACAGGGGTTATCGGATAACAATGACACGTATGCTGCGTTTCTATGTGCCTAAGTGCTTTCTAGACATTAGTTCACTTAAAGCTCCACAAGGACCCTGTATCATCCCCGCTTTTACAATGAGAAAAACAGATCGCTTCGTTTACACAGCTTAACCACCATCACAGGGGATTACGTGGTGGAGTGGGGTTTGAGTCCAGGTGGCCTGAGTTCCAAAGCCCATGCCTGCAAGTATTCTGTTACCTAGTATACTCATTCTCCTATGGCTTATGAAGAAGGATACCATTAAGAAACAGTGGGGCTTGCGGTTAAGGTAGCAGGTGGCCTGAGTTCCAAAGCCCATGCCTGCAAGTATGCTGCTCTACTCATTCTCCTATGGTTTATGAAGAAGGATACCATTAAGAAACAGTGGGGCTTACAGTTAAGGTCAAAAGTAAGAATGGTTATTATTTTAATATAGAAACATTTCCTGGAGATTGAGACTTGCAGTTTTTTGTGTGTGTATACCTTAGAAAATTACAGTTTGTTCTGTGGCAACCTAATTCGGTTAGGTAATCTCTTTATTCTGCTAATTTTTCCATTGCACCAAAAACAACTGCCTCATTGTGGGGCTGGTGGCAACTAGGCCATCCATTTGCACAGTTTTAGGGAACTCACTGGCTCTGCTAAGAAAAAGCAAAGTAACTAGCAAAGTGCATCACTCTAAAATCCAAGATTCAATTTTTAAATTGCTTTAAGAATAATGTATTCATCAAATTACCACAATCTTTGAAAACCATGCAGAATGTATAGCACTTCATGAAGGTCAACTAGCCATTCATTCATCCATCCATCCATCCATCCATCCATCCATCCATCCATCCATGAAACACAGCATCTCTTCTGTCTTGAGCACTGAGCTAAACGCTGGAGATACAAAAGCAAATAAGCCTTCAAACAGATGAGTCTGTGCACATTACCTCTGTTGAACGCTGTACAAAACCAAACCATGAAAACTGTGTTCTTTCTCCTCCATCCTGGCATTAAAAGTACCTGACTCAATTCACAGATGACTCATCTGATCAAACAGAAGACAGCAGCAATCTGGACTTCCTGCCCCTGCAGAGACCCAACATCTCTTTATGCCACAATTCAACACATCCAGGAAGAGGAAAACCTTGAAAAAAATGCTTTCTTTTATACAAGCTATCTGTGTTTATGACAGCTTAGCCATTTCTCCATGCCTCTGACGGGGGAGTTTCTATTAAGAAGTGGGAAAGAATTTAATCAGGCATCTCCCACTATCGCAGGAATACATTTTCCAAGGAGGCCACGGTACAAACAGAGGTTAAAGGAAGGTGAAACAAAGCTATTACTCGGGTAGCTTAAAGATGTTTTTGAAGGCTCGTCTAGAATCCCAAGTCTCTTTATAATACTATAAGAAAATGCACTCCAAATTCTAGTCGTCTTAACAATGGGAAACATTTTAAAACAACCGCCTGCAAACTGTGCACTACCTTTGTGGCTATTTCTATGCAGTGCCAGTGATAGAATTTCTGCAGCCTCCTGACTTCTGTTAAAATCATTTGACACTGTTTTGCAGGCTGCTGAAGTCCAAATCAATGGAATTGAGCAGAAAATTAAGGAAATGGCATTCACATTCATTGCCTTCATACAGCCAGAGCTAGTCTCTTCTGCTGATTCCCCTCCTTCTCCAGGTAGCCCTAAAATCTCAGCAAGGACGAGATCAAAGTAATGAATTAGGGATGACTGAAGTTTCGGGGTTGGACCCACCCACGACAGCCAGAGCTAGTCTCTTCTGCTGATTCCCCTCCTTATCCAGGTAGCCCTAATCTCGGCAAGGACGAGATTAAAGTAATGACTGAAGTTTCAGGGTTGGACCCACCCACAAATCTGAGGCAGATCACTAGCTTCAAAGATAAACTTGAATACCAATAAAATCTGATCCTAAACATCCTTTTCCTATAACCCTTCTTTCTTTTCCCCTCACTGGTGGGCAGGTGTTAGCACTATCCAAGGAAAATATCATGTGAGCCACACAAGTAATTTAAAATTTACTAGCAGCTATATTTGAAAACTAGGTGAAATTAATGGTAATAATATTTTATGTAACATAATAGTCAAAGTATTACCATTTCAATATGCAATCTATGTTCACTGACACATGATATTATTTTACTGTGTTTTCCACACTCAGGCTTCATAGTCTGTGTATGTTACACTTAGAACACACCTCAGTTTAGGCTAGTCACATTTCAAGGGCTTGCCAGCACAGTAATGGTGGCTACCGTGTGAGACAGCCCCGGTTCTTACCGTTATCAAGTTAACTATTAGGTCTCCGGCTGCCTGGCTTGGATAACCACCTTTACCCCTAAGGCAGCGGTTCTCAATCTGTTTGTCGCGACCCCTTTGGCAGTCGACCGACCCTTTCACAGGGGTCGCCTAAGACCATCCTGCATATCAGATATTTACATGACGATTCATAACCGTAGCAACATTACAGTTATGAAGTAGCAACGAAAATAATTTTATGGCTGGGTCACAACATGAGGAACTGTATTTAAAGGGCCAGAAGGTTGAGAACCACTGACCTAAGGAGTTATATGACTTTGGGCAATTTAACTAATCTCTTACTGCCCTGGTTTCCTCTTCAGCAAAATGGAGTTAGTCATTGTTTCTACTCATATATACAGTTAATATATGCAAAGCGCTCGGGACAGTGCTTGGCACGAGACACCCTTAAGTGCTGATAAAATTATCATTCTCCAAATACAACATCCCCAATTCCTCCTTCTCACTCTGCCTCTGCCTCACACACACTGTCTCTACCTCTCCAGATTCAGCCTTTACTCAAGGGCTCAGCGGAATCCTTTAGGGAGTTTACTTGCATCCACCAATGATCTTTCTCTCTTGTGAAACCTCAGCATTTGGCTGTATTTTTATTTCAGAACTTAATTACAAACTGTTTGGGTCATCTGTTGAATTGTTAACTTGTCTGGTTTTTCATAAATATAGATACCTCTGTCTATACAACTAACGATTAAGCCTTGGAGGGCAGGGAGTGGGCATACTGTATGCGTGCCAACACTTATACACACACATACCTATTCTTTTCACATTTAGCCATCTTTCCTTAAAATTCACCGAAAATCAAGGATGTATTGAAGATTCATTTAAAGTATTAGAAGACTGTCCACTTAAAATATTTTGTTAGTCCACCTCCCTTGCTGAATACCCTTCTCCCTGATGCTACACCACATCTTGAATCATACTTGCTCTCTCTCTGAATAAAATTCATATAGAGAATTAACAAAAAGCAACTAACAACCTCCTCACTGACTAGTAACTTGACTTTTCAGTCCTTAACTTTTTTATACCCAGCACCAATGAAGACTAGAATAATTGATAACATAAGCATAAACCCTTGTTCTTACCCTTATCAAGTTAAATGTTTTGCCTGAATAAATGAAACCAATGACTTCAAAATATAAAATGTAACTACAACTCCTTCTGGAGAGAAGTTTTTCCCGAAGAGATCAGATTATACTAGTATTTAAAAAAAACCTGTTCAGTCTCTCACTTGATAAATGATATACTCACTGAACCCTTCACACCACTGAGAAAACACATTTTATCAACCATCAAAAAAATTACAGATGTCTTTTTTAGGGTTATTCCCAATGAATGAGTTATTCTACCAACAAAAGCTTAAATAAGAAATTCAACTTCTGCTTTCTATAGCTCTATTTAATTCCAAAAATACATCATTCTGATTTGCTTCTGAACAGTCTGTCCTCATAAAACTCATAAACTGCCTGTATGTTTTTCATATAGTAAGAACCTGAAGCTAGAAAGGAAATTGAATTCTAGAAGTGGGCAATTAATTTGACAGCATTTGCTTTTTCCAATATGAGTATGTCAAGATCGAGAACTAAATGAGACACTGAAATCATTAAATGTTAGGAAAAGAAAAACTTAATTTAATCCCTATGGCCTAATGAAAGATCTTATTAGCACAGAAGCAAATTCATTTCCGTCCTTCCAAGACAAAAAAAGAGAGAGATAATGTACTTGTTTCTATAAAGAGGAAGAACCTCTAGAAGCTATGACTTGTAAATAATTCAGGGGATCCAACACAATTTAGTTGGGCCTTCCAGGCCATGGCAAGGAAAGTATCATGTAGCAATACAAAGTTAAAAAAACAAAAAAATAAAAATAAAAAGACTAACTCATGGAGAATCTGCTTCTGGATTTCCTTTGCCTCAGAATTATTAATATTTTTCTATTTCTAGGGAGATGGAAATGGGAAACTAAATCTCGTATTAGCATATTCCTTTCAGCACATAAACATGTGCAGCAATCTAAAATGAGGAGGCCATCCCATTTTCAACAGCAGGGGTTTAGCTCTTTCAAATCCCATGATTAAATCAGACTGGATCTTTAAGGTCCCTTTTGGTTCTAGAATTCTAATGACTCATATTGTCAAATAGGTGACCTCATGCATCACATAAGAACACATGTTCTGATAGCCAATTCACAAAGTGACAAAACTGAAAATATCTTTAGGCAGAAAGAGGTTTATTAAATATGCTCCCTTTGCCCAAAGACGTAAGAAATCTTTTGACCCAACTTAACAAAAACAATAAAACAGACTTGAAGAAATTTAATATGCCCTCTTCTCTGTTGTATTATTTGGTTTTCAAAGTAAGGGCAATAATTTGTTAGAAAGAACTTATATACCTCTTATAATTGTTTCCTACAACTTCATACTTATGTTACTGATTTGTTATATCCGAAGCAGCAAAGACAGGCATAACTAATCAGGTGAGGGAGGGTGTGCCATTATGAAATGTAGCTGAAGGTGTGTGAACACTGCCAACTAAGGCTAATTTCTGAATATTCTAAAGAAGCCAATTCGACATCTTCCTTATTAAATCCATCCTAATATTCAACTACTGTCCCTAGGAGAAAGCTTTCCTTAAATCCTTCCAATACCAGCTTAACCTTGCTATTACTTGCTGCTTAAAAAAAAACCACAGAATATATACAATGATCTTAATACCACAAGAAAACCATTTTTCATTTATTAGAAGAGCAAAAGTCAGAGAAACTGATCACCTAGTATGATGACAAATATGTATGTAAATAGGCACTTCTGTTTGCCAAGGTTAGGAATGCAACTTTGAGTTAATTTTTGTACATGGGGTAAGATCACCCCTTTGTACATGGATATGCAGTTTTCCCAACATGTGTGCTGCCGAGACTGTCCTTTCCCCATTGAGTGGTCTGGTGCCCTTGTCAAAGATCATTTGACCACATAAGCAAGGCTTTATTTACTGCACCATTCTACTCGTCTGTCTTTAATGCCAGCACTATACAGGTCTGATTACTGTAGCTTTGTAATATGTTTTGAAATCAGGAAGTATGAATCCCCAACGTTTTTCTTCTTTTTCAGGGTCCATGTCTCGTTTTTTATGCATGCTATGATGCCAAAGAAAAAAGATTGGGAATGACTGAGCCCTATAAAAAATGTCTTCACACTTTTTGCTTATATACACTCCCAAAGACTTTTCCCTAGTATGTATCCTTTGCACACAAAAAAAGTGATTTCTGATATATTATAAACATGGGCATTTAAATTTTAATATAAATTTTTATCATCCTTTTAAAGTTATTCAGTGGATTCTAAATACTATAGGGAAATGATACTCACCAACATCCATTAAAAAGTATGATGACCTTCTCTAAGAGTAATTTTATAAGTCCTTATTTCTCCTTGAGTTCTGTTTTGCACTCCATTTCCTCCACAGAATACTATTCTAATGTAATGTATTATTTACTTATTTATTTACTGCCCAACTCAGTTATACATATCAGAAAGCTCCAGTCTAGAAGTCCAGGCTCACTGGAAATCATGCCACTATAGGTGAAGTAGGGACCCATACTATCACCCGTCTCTGAAATTTCAAAATAGGAGACATTTTACTATCTGCTTAGTAAATATTAAATTTTGATTTAGTAGAAGCAATTATGATGGGTTCTCACTAATGTAAA